AACCAACAGGCAGTGGTCCGAGATACTTAATCCCACACCCAACGTTGTAATTGGTTAAAAGTTTTCATGTCCAAGCTCACATATAAAACAAGGATGGAAATAAAAAAAACAAACAACAAAAAAAATGGAAAAAAAAAAACCCTTGACTTTAAGACAAAGAAGTGAGGAGGCTCTCATGTTTAAGAAGTCATATATGTTCATTTTAAACATATGTGTATGTATATTTTATACATATTTAGTTTTTTTTTCATTTTTTTTTTTTTAGTCAAGGGAATGAACAGGTCTCATCAGCTTGGTCCTGCAGACAGGAAGGCTGAATTAGGTGTCCTAGAGGCCTGCCAGCAGAAGAAACAAAACAGTTCACACCATACCTCTTCTCCATACCAGCCCTAGCAGCACAGTGGAGCAGATCGGGAGCAGGGACTGAACACAACATCTCAGACTCCAGCAGAGCCAAGAGCCAAGCTGATCCAAACTTTTGGATATTTACTGAACCTTTTGAATATGCTGTTCATGCTTGATTAGTAATATACCTATATGAACGTCACTAAATTAAAAATACAAAGTTTCCAATGTTCTGTCTCAGGTAAAAGTACAAATCACTAATTCTCACTGAAGTTTTTAAATGTATCCATTGAGAGAAGAGGAAAACAATTGACTTATAAATAGAAGTTGTCCTGATTAAAATGATGTATGGTACTTGACAGTGACTGCTAAGAAAAGTTTTAAAACGTTATAAATGCAGAAGAGTCAAGCACCCCCAATATTCCTCTGGCTCTTTAAGGGTTAAACAGATGGGGGTCGAGCCGGCACATAAAACCCCCTTCTTTCCACTGTACCTCTAAAAACACAGGAAACACTCAGGTCAGTGTGTGACTTATCTTGTGTCTTCTTCTTGATTATTTTGTAACGTAAGGTTGTCTATTTAAAAAAACTTATCCCTCACTTTTTTAAGTATGCACATTAAACAGAGGTGAGGTGTGCTCAGGAGAAAGGGTAGAGAGCTTTGGAAACAGAAGCCGCCAAATGTAATTCTTTATATAAGGGTTAGTTATGATAAAGCTGCTCATGTTAAAGTAAAAGAAACGAAAAGATGAAGTTAAATAGGCAGATTCACAGCCTTAAGGAAAAAGCATTTCTTGTCGTATTTCCTCTTGGGAAATTTTTGTAAAATAAAAATCCTCATTTCAAATCTTCTCATGCTGAAAACAAAGATCCTCCTCAGTTTTTCTGCTTCAGTTGGTCTTTTTTAAGCGAGCAGACACTGCCATAGAAATAAAAAAACAGATTTTTTTTTTATTCTCTCTATCCCCACGCTTTCAGAGTGAACAGTCAGATTGTGTTGTGGTCTTGTAATTGGAGCGTTTTTGTCGCTGAGTGTTTTCCATCGACCGGGACGCTCTACAGAGCACAGAGTGTTTGGATGAGTCTCAGTGAGGATAATGATCCTGGACTGACTCACAGCATCCATCTGCTGCTGTTGCACCGTGAACAACAACAACAAAAACCCACAGGTCTTATTTTATTTTAATCATTTATTGGAAATGGGAGTATTTCACTGAACAAACATGCCGACATAGTCAGGACACAAAACGGTAGCTGAATCCTTCCTTCATGCAGTGAAGACGAGAGTGAGGTTACTCAAAGTTTAACTGCAAGGAGGTGTTTCTGCAGCTTATTGAACTAAATAATCCTGGTTTCTATGGCTTCTCCTGCAACATTTACCTATTATCTGACTGCTAAATGTAATGTATTTCTTATTTTATTCCGTATTGTTTTTTTTTTTTTGTTTTTTTCTGTGTTAAATATGTGCAATGAAAAATTTAATTGAATTAAAATGAACTAACTTGTTCCAGGACGACCCTCTTGTGAATAACTTCACTCTATGGGACAGAAAAACAAAAGTCTCTGACATCAGCTGTGTCCTCTCCCTCATGTTAAAATTAGCTAGTTCGAAACTGGTGGACACCGTATGTATGGTCACATAAACACGCAATCAAACAAGCGGTAAAATTTCTCACTTCTTCACCTGTGAGTGTAATTTTGTGAATTAAGGACCTTTCAAACTTTCATTTTCACCAAACCAAAGTTGGTTTTGGTGAAAAAGTGGAAAAACTAGGTTATATTGACTTCCTTTTGTTTTTCTAAATTATAATCAGCGTCCTTGCGTCTTCAGTCAAGGGACTTTGCAATACTGCTGTTGCGGAGTTTAATAATCTGTTATGAATTCATAAAAAATAACTGTGGCACATTTTGTCACGACTTTATCTGATGTAGAAATACAAGCCTCTGGCAAAAACAAGCTCTATGTGGAAGCGCTAAAACTGTGTGTGCCTGGCCTGCAGAGTTCACACATGGCTCATGCCACTGCTGCACAGATTTATTCACTCATCCTTGTCTGTCATTAAAACATTCAAAACATGAGAATGTAAGACAAACGGTGACAAAAGCCAGAAATGAATTATCCTACTAGCTACGACACATTACTCTGAACAAATACACAGTCCTGTTGTGTTTTCTCCTGTCAGATGCTTTAATCAGAGAAACATAGCTCTTGGCTTTATTAGCAGTGATAGACACTGGCTTCATTAGCCAAGCTGTCTGCAGCGTGAAGCTGTAATGACTTTACAGCTTTTTGGGGGGATTTGGACACAGTCTTGAAAGCAACTTAACTTTGATCATAGGTACATCAAATACAGGGATTTTTGTCTACTTAATACCCAAGTTTAGTGCAGCTAAGGGGTTCTCAGGTGTACCAGCAGCACCCTCTTGCTTTGCACACTCCGAGAAGACCAGGGGCTGCAGGAACAATGAGCACTCCATCAGCTTCAGACAGAGTTTATGTTCAAGTGCACAGGTGTGTTCATATCAGCATATAATTTAATATTTAATTGTTGAGCATCATTTACATGAAAATAGACAATGTACTCAAAAGGGGCTTTTATTCTGGAGGTGTCCTAGATTCATTTTTTACTGTACCCGGACAACAGGGCGTCCTTAGTTTTGAGCAGAGCTGGTTTACAAATGACGTGACCGTTTTCATTGCATTTTAGCCAACGTTTATCAACCAAAATACAAACTTCACTCAAACAAATGAACTGGAGAACCACCACATATTGTATTGCATATCTATACAGTCCTTTTTCCTCTCTATGGTTGAAGTCATGCTGGTTTAAATATGAGGCTCTGCAGGATGAAGGATGTCAATCTTCCCCTTTAAATAACTGAAAAATGATCCTAACTCCAAAAATGTTTCTTTAAACCTGTATGTCGTCATTCTGTGATGTGGGCAAGTTTTCATGCAGGGTCTAATAATAGGGCCCTGGAGCAGCAAAAATCCGGGAACATGGACTCAGTGTTAAGTGTACAGTCATGCAGTCTGACAATCGATCGAACTCTGCAGCTTCTATTCTCAGCAACACTCCAAACTCTACAATCAAAATCAGAGTCATGAGGGGACCTTAACCACTTACAGAAGTTGTATTAATCCATAAAAAATAACCTCTATTAGACGCATGAAGAGACCTGAATCTACATAATAACAGCGGGAACTTGAATCCACAGGAGAGGTGCAGATTTAGCACAATACTGGTCCACAGTTTATAAATGTGACAGTTTTACCTGCATTTGGACTGAATTATTTAATCTTATTTAGTCCTTAAAGAGACTGACAGGCTCTAATGTGGTATCCTGCCACCAAACAAGTCCTTCAGTGTGTGAATAACTGAAAACAAGTAAAACTACAACATTTAACCACAGAGTCAGTCTGTCAGTCAGTCTATTTGTAGAAACTCTATTTGTATACAGATCTGCTGACTCCAGAATGAACTGATAGGATAAATCTATTTAAAACAGTTCTATCTTTGGTATTTCTGCACTGAGAGCAGACTGTGACTCCAGACTGCTTTGGCTTCTGACTGTATGTTTACAGGTCAGCTGATCGCAGAAACAGCTGCTGATAGGTAAACGCCCCATGACAAAGATGTCACCCTCTGCCTTTTACAGTCAGCTAACAGCATAAATGGCACTATTATACTGAAATTAATTCACAAATCCTCTGAGTATTTTAGTTTCTGTGGGATTTAGATCCGATCAGTCTATGAGATACTCTGCTTTTCTCTGTGGGATGACAAAAACTCCTTGGCATCACAGAAAGTTTAGCACCTGAAAGCTGCCGGTCTCACAGAGAGAGTGGATTTTACACTAGGTAGGAACAGTGTACTCTTCCTTTTTCAGGGCTGGTATTCAGATATCATAAACACAACACGAATATGTCATTTACCACAGTGCTGATCCCAAAAGGTTTTAAGAAGTATTCATTGCTGTTCACTCCTTTATCCTCAATCTAGTTTGAGAGTTTGGTGACTTATTAAAGGGATATTCCAGCATAAAATTAAGTTAGGATCAAACACACTGTAACACAGAGTTAGACACTCCGTCAAGAGATGAATGTTGCCGACCGCTGCAGTCGATTGACTTGCCTGAGGTCTCCATACAAACAAGCGGCTGCTGGAAGAGAGCAGGTGAGTTGTGTTTAGTCTCTTTGCTAAAGAAATCAGGCAAAGTTAAAAAGATGTTTGGTGGCTAGTACTATGGCTGGGACCCTATATATACTGTTGATGAAGTTAGGTGCTGTTCTGAGCATTATTTGTGGCTATAGAGTGGTGTTTTGGTTGAGCGTGTGGCTCTGTGTATTGCATTGTACTGTGTTTTGTATCATGTGGTCATTACTTAAGTTGGTATAACTAGAGAAGCAAGCAAGCGGTCAGCAACATTCATTCCTCGAGAGGGTGTCTAACTCGGTTTTATGGTGTGTTTGACCCTAGCCTAATTTTATGCCAGAATATCCCTTAAAGAAACAGCTGAGGAGGCAGACACAGGGGGCGAGTGTGGGCAGCCATCATCAGCTGAACTGCTGTATTTACTGTGAGGTTATTTATTTAAACAAGCTTGTGGCATCCTCTTCGCTTTCCTTGAGTTCTTCATTCATTCAGTCAATAACCGCAGGAGGACAGGCTGTACCGCAATCATATCCCTGCAGCAGGGAAAGTGTGACATACCTTACTCTACCTCTGATTCGTTCACCATGACAACCTTAGAGAAGCAACAAACAGATAGAGGAAACAACATGTACCAGCTGATCAGAGACAGTGTAAGATGACTCATGGCTTCACCATCCTATAAAAACGTGCAGAGAATTCAGCAAAACGTCCGAAAGATTCCCATCAGATTGATTTAAAGTGTTATATACAAAGCAGTATACCAGCTATACACTCTGTACACATATCTACATCTGTGTAAACACACTGTGTACCTGCTGTATACATGCTTTCCTCCTGTGTTTACCCACTGCACACCTTGTATACCTGCTGTGTACACCTGCGTATACCCAATGTGTACCTGCTGTACACCTGCTATACACTTGTGTACACCCTGCAGTCTACCAATCTACCACAATCTATGTCTCTCTATGGGTCCTCCCTCAGCCTGTCTCTGTTTTGTTGCTGCCTCTCTGCAGGCTGCGGACAAACTGGCTCTACAAATCATTTTAACATCTTGGCTGTGATAGATTGAGCATGTCTGGCTCTCTGAAGGCGACTGATTATGTTTGTGAAATGCAAACTCAGCACATCTCTAGTCTAACACTGTTCCTGATCAGATTCTCAGCACATCAGACACAGAGTTCAGTCTATGAGAAACGCTGAGGGCTGCTGTGCTGGGAGAGGAGGAAATGTGATGAGTCAAAGAACTAAAGGACAATAACAACGCTGTCTTTACTGTCATTTTAGAGGACATTCAGTCAAGCTGGGATGGACATCTGCACCCGTGTTCATCTCTTAGGTCACAGGATAAAGACATTTCTGTGGTCCAACGTGACATAAAGGGATATTCTGGTGTAAAATTAATTTAGGGCCAAACACACCGTAACACCGAGTTTAGACACCCCCTTGAAAGATAAATGTTGCCGATTGCTTGCTTCTCTAGTTATACCAATTTAAGTAACGACCACACGATAGCAATACACTGCGGTCTGAGGAGCCATAAACAAACCTCAACCAAAAAGCCACTCCATAGCCACATATGATCAGAACAGCACGTAACTTCATCAACAGGACATATAAGGTCCCAGCCATACCACTAGCCACCTAACATCTTTTTAACTTTGTCTAATTTCTCTAGCAAAGAGACTAAACACAACTCACCTGCTCTCTTCCAGCAGCTGCTTATTTGTAGCAAGACCATGGGCAAATCCATTACAGACTGCAGTGGGGTGACTCAGCTCAAGAGAGAACATTTATGATCCTTTCCTCATGGAAATGCAATCAGACTGAGACACGAAGGCAGAAGAACTATCGGTCTGCAGTGCAAAATGATTAATATGGTGATTATAACTTCAAGGAAATGATAAAGAAATAATCATAAACGTTTTTCCTTGAGCTGCATCACCATGCAGCAGTCCGTATTGATTGTGGTTTGTGTGTGGTTCCATAGACCGCTGTGACTTGCTATTGTTTGGTCATTACAAAAGTTGGTATAACTAGAGAAGCAAGCAGTCGGCAACATTCATCACTCGAGGGGGTGTCTAACTCGGTGTTATGGTGTGTTTGGCCCTAAATCAATCTTACGCCGGAATATCCCTTTAATAAAGATCTGCATATTACACCAGAATCTGTACAGGACCATACTGGTTTCCTCTGTTTCTTGAAATCGCCATCAGCTGATTACTTGCCCATCAAGCTTTTAACTCTGAGCTTTTTTATGTGGATACATCCGACTGACTTTAATGTTCCTAGGTAAGTTTAGTCCTGAGTCTTTTGTTACTATGTGGGTGTAATCCTGAATCTGGTATATCTAGGTGAGGTTAGAGATTCAACTGTTTTAGTACCTGGCTGTAAACATTGATTTTCTGCCTAACCATAGGGCTCACTGACTCACTGCAGGACACAGCCTATAGTGGACACTGGAGGAACTGCAGTTTTTAGGACTTGGCTTTGGAGGATTGTAGTTTTTTTCTGAAACACAATCAGTGTAGAGAGAGTTTGAATCGATTTGGCAAATCTTGGTTTCTTGAACCTGTCAACTGTTATTGTTGGGTAATTTAGAGTCTTATCTCTAAATACAGATTCTCTTATTTGAATCGATAACAATTGTGGTCTTTTGGAGTTTGGCTCTGGGCTGGAACTCTGCAGCCTGGTCTCACATTCATTTATACTCTAATAATAATAATGATTAGAAAACAGAAAACCCCTGACTCAGATATCCGATAAGTTTTCAAGATAGGCGCTGGCTGTTGCGTATAAAGTCTTCCCCGGAGGCTGACCTGGCAACAGTCTCAGCTGAAGATTGAGTCAAAGCAAACCTTCATTAATCTATGTCACTACTATGATCGTTTTTTCTTATTTTAGAAAGACAGGGTGTCAGGAACTCATTCATCATTGCTCTCCTAAGTTAAGTGTGTCCTGAATTATCAGAGCTGCTACAGAACTGCTAATGGTGTCGCTCTGATCGATATTCAGAGGAATCGATGTAAATGATCTGTATGCAGAGTGAGGACGGGCTGATGGAGCTGAGAGAGTGTTTTCACAGCCTGGCCTCTTTAATGGGCACAGCTTTCAAACTGAATCATCCCGCTCATCATTCAGATGTAGAATAATCCAGAATAAAAAAGGACAGCGGGATGTCCAGAGACCGGAGATGGTTGCCAGGCAGCGAGCTGTCTCCAGAGCTAAAACCTCCTGTGGGCTTCAGACACATTGATTTATCAATTCAAGGCTAAGTGGGAGCAGCAGAAAAGTGACAGTGATCAAAAAGCTCATCCATAAACATCAGTCAGGGTCTGATCCAGAGGATGACAGGATGAGACATTTTCCACGGACGCAAAAATCCCCGAAGACACCCCGAGGCAAGGAGAAATGATGAGTGACGGCGGAGGATTGGTTTCATCGTACCAGTTGGTTTTATTATGACAATGCACACTCGAAAAGCAAAAAAGCCTTGGCATCCTGCAAAAAACCAACAATATAATGACAACATGAGTCACGGGCTGGAGCCTGCAGGGCTGGACCAGCCGACTGTGCCGAACGGTATTATTGCAAAGGGTCACTTCAGTCAAACTTATTAGCAAACAGAAGGACAAAAATCAAAGTAAATCATGAGTACATAAAATATCCATCATTTCATCTTTGTATAGTGGGAGATACATTTGATATGCAAACACACACAGATTAAAATAAAACACTAAAACATGTGACCCATGACAAAAACCAAAACAAAGTGTACATAACTGAATCATAAGTGAAAGGCTAGGCTAAGATCTTACAAATCACTGAAGGCTAATCATTTAATCAAACCCTTTGAGGCTGTATCAAAAACTGTGTAAAAAAATTAGAAGGAGATTTTCATCGAGCCTTTTTAGAGTTAATTTACTGCAAATTCAGAGAAGTTCGGATCAGAGCCACAGTGAGTCCTGTGAAGCTCAAACACCAATATCTGTACAGTCCCATCAGGGACGGCCATGGCACACAAAGTTTCTCCTCGACAGGGAGAGGGACTGCCTCCAGTCATAAAAAAATAACAATCCAAGGTCCAAAACAACCTGAGGGCTCCTGTTCCTGTTTTCATGGAGGTGCTGAATGACTGGGGAAAACCGTGGAGCTTAAGTTACACCAACACTTAATGTGAGTCAAAATATGAACTGTTATGAGCTCCAAACTTAACTTTTCCACCATTATACAAACTACAATCTGACTACAAGAGACAGAGAGAGAATCTGTGTTTTCTAATGGAGACTGAGTGGTTCAACCAATGACTTTGAAACTCCAGCGACAGCCAGGAAATAGCTAAATGCTAGCGCAGTTGTTTCAAGGAAGCTGAAGGTTTATCAAACATCTTGGAATCTGAATATTTCCTCCAGATTTCCATTCCCTGTTGTGTCAGAGAGGATAAATCTGATGGTGTGTGCTCAGAGAGAATAAATCTACTGGTGTGTGCTTCCCACCCTGAGCCTTAAAACAGAGTGGGAGTAAATTTAACTGATTGGATTGTTTTTGGTTAAATATTGTCTTAAATATCACAAAGCTCCAGCAGGTTATTTCAGCGAGGCAGTCCCTCTCACGTGCTTCCTCCGCCACCAAAAAATATTAGACAATCTATCAGAACATCTTCCAGATATACAGTGAGCTTTAAACCAAAAAAACAAAGAAAAATATGATTATTATTCACCTCTAAATCTGTTTAGGCTACCTGTTATTCTCTTCTTTTCTAGACACGTGGATAAGAAACAGACGACTAGTGTTAAAAGCAAACCGTACTGAACCTGACCACACACTCACACTCACAGACACTCACACTCTCGTTCACACACATACACACACTCAGATCCTTTAATATCTCTGTCTCCTTGTGAAATCAGCAGTTGCTGCTTGCAGAGGTCTGATGGCAGTTCACTGTCTGATTTTAGAGAAATATAATGTTGAGTTGTTAGGCAGACGGTTCAGTCCAGAAACAAACGAAATAAAAATGTTGGGGAGATGAAATCACTAAAATAAATCCAGAATTTAAACATAGAAACAAACCAAATGAAATGCTGGAAGGAGAGCTGGTCTCCATTTGTCACCTCAGACCACATGGTCTCTGAGAGCCAATGTGACGAGAGCTTGTTTGTCTTAGGCCACTGCAGTAGCTGGGCTACCACTGAAAAAGTAGTCCCACCCAGCTGTTTGACCAAACACACACCTGTTGACTGACCCCCTCCCCCCACCCCCCACTCATGACTGCCCCCCCAAACCAGAACCCCCTGTAGGATTTGTACTTTAGCACCTCTTGTCGTCTCTCCCTGTTAAAGTCCTGACTGACAAACACCAGAGTGGAAACCGTCACAGTTCCTCAGGTATCCTTCCCCTCCACCTGATGGGAGGAGGGTAAGGTAAGTCTTAGGGTGGGACGTAGGGTGGTGGGGATCTGTAGGGGGTCATGTTCTTGGGACGGGAACCTTTACCCTCCATGGGGGCAGTGAAGGGAGGAGGTGGCTGATAGGGAGGTGCATTGGGGTCCTCATCCCGCAGAGCTGTGTACTCCCCCAGCAGCTCCTGGTTGAGGGGTGTGGTCTCTGGGGTGGCCATGTTAGGGTACTCCGGGGGTGGGAGTGGGGGCTTCTCCTCCTGTAGGATCAGGGGCATACTGGAGGAGGGAGGGGGCTTAGAGTCATCCAGCTCATCTGCAAAAATGATGGGCACACCTTTCTTGATAAAGGTGGCCTGGTCCTCGATGGTCAGCTTGCCCTTCCTTTTCTTCCTGTAACAGATCATCGCAATGATGCCCGCTATCAACAAGATGGCGGCCACCACCACAGCAGGGATAACTGTGTGGAGGTAGACATCATCTGTGCTCTGCCGGCCTGTTCCCAAAGCCGGGGTGACTGCTGGAGGTTCAGGTATGTCGATCTCTCCTGGTGGGATGAAGGAATATGTCCTGCAGCTTGCACGACCTTTGACCATGACGTCCAGTGGTCTGAACTCAGGCTCCATGGAGTACCTGAAGGTCTGTGAGGGTTTCCCATCAGCACTGGCGAGCGTCCTGCTCATGACTTGGAGCTGCTCTTTGGGGCATGGGTGGGTTGGCAGGCTAGTGTTGGTCCACTCCACCACGATTGAGCCTTTGCTGATGTTTCTCAGACTGACCGTGCTGCTGTTTCGGTCTCCGAGGGCATATGCCAGCTTCTTGACCAGGAGAATCTTCTTGTGGATATCGTTCGTTACAGAGCGTGGCTCACCATCGAAGCGAGCCGTGAAAATCACAGGGGTCTTATCATTTGTGGGCCAGCGGTTCACACGGACCTCAAAAGCATCAATAGCATTCAGGCCCCCTTTGTCAGCAGCCTGCATGAAATATTCATGTTTGCCCACATGTTGGACATCCGGCAGGCCATATAGGAGCTGGCTAGTGGTGTTGAACTGGATCCAGGAGCCCTCTCCAACCACCTCATTGTGGTTCTGCCTCAAAGTGAGACGCAGCTTGTCTGTGGTCCCGTCTTCTTTGTCAAAGAAGGTGTCAGAAGGGATCTTGACCTCGAAGTAGGTGCCAACCAGCGCGTTGACCTGGTCGATGGGGTTACGCAGGACGGGCTTCTCATTGTACGGGTCTGGTATGATACCGGGTGAGGCCGTGGTCCGTATTGGTGGTATTACTGTGGAGGTCTCTTTCGGAATGGGAGTGGTTGTGGTTTTGGTTTTCTTGGGCTTCCTGGGGGGCTTTCTTGTTGGTGGTATTGGGGTGGCTGTAGCCTCCACATAGGAAGGTCTGGTCATTGTGGGCTGGATGGGGATGGTGCTGGTGGTCTCCATGACCCTGGTGGGCTGTGGGGGTGCCTGGGTAGGAGTGTGGGCAATGGGATCTCTTACTCTGATTGTGGGTTTTCCTGGAAGGGGGACAGGGCCTCTGACTGGTGGAGCAGAGCTTTCTGTTGGTGCTGCGATGGACGGGGATGATAGGGTGGGGATGATTCTCACTGGTGGCTCGACTACAGTGGTTGGAGGCAGCACAGCGAGGACAGGTGTGGGGGTGTTGTTTAGCTGGCGTCTGACCCTCTTGGGGACGTGGGGTTTCTTGTTGGCTATATGCCAGCCTACCACAGGGAAGCCCAGTTTGGCAGACATCGTGCCCTCTTTAGCTGGACCCTGGACACTGTTGATGTTGGGGACAGTGCTCTGGTCCAATGAGCAGCCAAGCTTCCAGGACAGGAGGGCGCCATTCTCCACCACCTGCAGAGACGAGAAGGAGTTAAATCAGCTGATGGCCTTATTTATCATTATCATTACTGTTACTATTATTACTGTTGTTATTACTATTAGTAGTATTAGTAGAATTATCATTATTGTGTGAATGAATGAATTAAAAATAAATTTGCTTCCTCCTCAGTGGCACTCTCACCTTTTTGGCATTTCCTGGCCCAGCCATGAAGGCAGACATGTCGAACAGCCTGTTGTTGACCACGGGGAGGATCTTCATGTGCTGGAGCTCCACCCCTGAGAAGCTTCTCATGTTGTCCAACAGCTCAACCCTCTGCTCAGAACTCATCTTTGTCAGATCTGCATCGAGGATCACTGTCAACACAGTGACTGGTTCCTCCTCACCGCATGTGAATGGCTGGATGATGTCCTCAGTCGCCGCCTGGTTGGACACCAGCGGGGCAGAGTCTGCATCTGAATGATCCTCAGGGTGGACCTCAATAGAAAACACGTCAGAGGAGGAGGAGGATTTGGACTGGTTAGAGGTGGACACTGAGATGTAATGGACTCCTTTGTCCTCGTCCAGAGGTAAACCCTGAAGGATTCTGCTGTCCGAGTCCCAGTGCAACCATGATGGCAGTGAGTCCCGACCCAGCTCCCTGATCTGAAACACAGAAAATATACAGGTATTTAACTACAAAAGAAGGAAAAAAATGCAACACAAATATCTAATTATACTAACACTCTGATGGAAACACTGACGACAATATATGAAAAACCCTGAAACACTGGGTCTGATTGAATGAGCTGTTTGTAGAAAGTGGAATAAAGACCTGAAAAATGAAAAACAGACAATAAAAGCTTTTAAGGCCAAACACATTGTAAATACTAACTGTGATAAAAGTGATGTGCATCAGAACAAAAAAAAAGGGAAGATTTCTCTGAACATTTTTTTGTTTTAATAAAAGAGTTTAATGAATATCCCCACAAGAAAACATCTCTCATTTATCTTCTGTTTTTGTCTTGATAACTGTTTGTTTGTTTTTTGTCCTCAAGCTTTTTCTGATATCAGCTGTTCTTAACATTAGCTGCTTTTGATATTAGCTGTTCCTCCTCTCAGCTGATTCTGTTATTGGCTGTTCTTGATATCAGCTGATTTTGATGTGATGTCATGTTCCCTCACAGTTTTACCTGCATTACCATTTGTTTCTGAAGCATGCAGAAAACTGTCAGAGTGATTCAGAACTGTTGTCAACAAGGGGTTTGTCCAGCAGAGGGCACTCTGACTCTTTAGGTTACAGTCCCCTCAGCACTGTCTGTAGTGCACAGAGCACCACAGCTGCACAGACAAAGCCAGACTGGACAGGTTTGCATGTAGAAAATGTTAAAAACTGTTTCATGAGATTGTTTTTGCAGGGAAACAGCCTCTTCAGGAAGTTTAAAAGTTATACCAGTGAAAACCAAAAAGAAGTCTGTCTTATTCCAGCTTCAAATTGAATTTCATAAGCCTATTTTAGACATTAGAAAATTATACGTGCCAACAGCAAACACATACAGCAGGACTGACTGACAGACTGATTACTCCTTTAAGGTAGTTTATCGTTTTTGTTTAGGCTTGTGTTCAGGCTAAATCAGGGCTCTGACACCTAAACCTGCTCCATGCCTTGTTTCACAAGAGCACCTGTACAGAGTGACAGTACAGATCTCTGAGCTGTGACTGAATCCAAACTGAGATTATGATAATTTATCATCAGAGAGTAAAAGGACCCTGAGGCTGCAGGACGCCGACCACAGGGGAGTGACCATGACTCAACAATCAACTATACACACTGGACAAAAAGAGGAAATATGGGGTGTGTGTGTGTGTGTGTAAATTATATTTTGTAGAGGCAGCTCCCCTAACAGCATAAACACATAAACACAAACAAGGACACACACACATACAGGGGTATACACAAACACACACTCATGTTCAAATACAAGGCCACAGACAGACATGCAAGGCCGGACATAAAAATCTACAAGTGCACACACACACGCACGCACGCACGCACGCACACACACACACACACACACACACAAATAAAAACACACACATACATGGCCATGAGCTGATCATTTACAGGTAACCCTTACTGCTCTCTGTAACCCTGAGAAAGGTTTAGAGAAAACAGAGAAAGGTCACTGTGGAAATGAGATGATTCCCCAATCAGGTATTTATTTATTTATATATCTCTGTTCAGTTTGTTTATTTTTATTTTTACTTTTGAAACCCTATCTGTGCTTTTCTCTGCTGATTTAATCTAAAATCTCCTCACTGCTTGTGAGGCACGTCATGATTATCAGATAATAACTGAAGGTCTCACAAATATTAATGTTTTTATCTATTTCAGACACAGAAACACACAGATCATCAAGTGACTCTGAAGTGGTTTTAAAACTGCCTCAGATGTAGATATTGAACATGAAACCAATAAATGGTGTTCCACAGGGAACAGTAATGGGTCCTTTTTTATTTCATTTTTTTATCTGAAACTTTGATGTACAGATAAACATTTTAGGTGTATAAGCTGCTTGTTTCTGGTTGGATATTACCTCCTGCAGCGAGGTGACACAGATGATGTAGGTCTTTATTTGTCTCTCACAGTTTCATGGCCTCCAAACTTTGGAGCGTCGCCTCCTGACATGGCAGCACAGATTAAATCATAGAGAGATGAGGAAGGACGAGCGCGTTTACGGGCAGTAATTTCATCAGAGCTGTCATACTGACTCAGTTAATGACTAAATTATGTCCTGATAGGACAGACAGGGACACCGTCTCCTCTGCTGACAGTTAAACACGAGGACAATATCACCAACAGAGACTGTAGGCTCTATTTTCAAGGGACCTGCTCACTACAGGAGGAACGGTAAAGATTACTACTGCTATAATAAGACATTATTATACTGATTATTTCACATTCAAAATTATTCATACTTTAAAATGATAGAAAATTAGGAGATTTATCAAATAAGCTAACTTACATTTTGGCTGACCCTAGTCTTAGTTAGCATTTCTGGATCTGCAAACTCACAATAGGCTGAAGAGACCGAAACATAAACTTTGTAATAGAAAGTCTTTGCTCATGGTAACTGTGTAAAGATGGCTATCATTAATGTTTACTATCAGGGTTCATCACATACCAGGAGAGAGATTTATCCTTTAAAGCTAAGGGAGACTGGAGAAAGGGGGGATGGACAGAGATGGAAATAGATAAATGGAGAAGGGAACTAAGGGAGGTGAGGTAAAGATGGAGGAGAGGCTGAGAGTAACTGTGCTCAGGGGGAATACGACAAAGGTAAAATTCACCGAGAGAGAGAGAGAGAGAGAGAGAGAGAGAGAGAGAGAGAGAGAGAGAGAGAGAGAGAACGAAAAGCTGGCATGAAGGAGAGTTTGCAGTGGAAAGAATCAGGAGAGAAGGAGGAAGTAGGGATGGAGGGATGATCGAGGGAGTGAGGAGTGGAGGTGTGAATGTTTACGAGGGGAAATCCACCTCAGAGCTCATTTTCTACTGTTAATAGATGTTCATTTATGGCCCCACGCCATATGCACACACCTGCACACATTCACACACATTCACACACACAGATGCAAGAACATGGGCATGTGCAAACACATGGTAAAGTTGATCATCTGAATCTATTTTCTCGAATCATCAAAAAATTTACAAAGATCAATGAGAAAAAGATCAAATGATTCATAAAGGATGAAGATACAGAAACAAACGGTGATCTGTGTGTGTGTGTGTGTGTGTGTGTGTGTGTATGTGTGTGTGTGTGTGAGTGTGTGAGCGTGTGGTTTTGGGTGAGAGTGTGTCAGTATGTGTGTTTTTTTATGACAAGGGCAAATGGAAGGCGGATAAGGAGACACACACAGCTTGCTGCCAGTGCAGCAGTCTTACAAATACACACACACATGCGCGCGCGCGCGCACACAAACACACACACACACACACACGCACGCACAACTATACATGCTGTACAGGAGGAAGAAGACAGATAGAGAGGGGTTTAAACTTGCGGAGATGTGTGTGTGTGTGTGTGTGTGTGTGTGTGTGTGTGTGTGTGTGTGTGTGTGTGTGTGTGTGTGTGTGAGAGTGTGTGTGAGAGAGAGAGAGAGAGAGAGAGAGTGATGAAGAAGGTCAGAGACCCACTGAGAAAATGAGGTTACAAACACACACTGTATGCTCATATACATCAGTGTCTGAGTCTGTGTGTGTGTGTGTGTGTGTGTGTGTGTGTGTGTGTGTGCTATCTGTTTATCAGTGTTGCTCGCTCTCTGCAGAACCTGAGCGCTGACTGATGCTGCAGGTCCACCTCTTTACTCTCTGACACACATGCACACAGATACACACAGTTACAGACAAACTCTCTCTTTCTAAACACCCTCAGCTGTAGAAAACTCTCCTCTTTTTATGCTCACAGCTTGTTTCCGTGTCAGACTGTTTTTATGTGGTGCCTGTGATATATATCTGTGTTTTATCATTTAACATGTGTTTAAGATAAATATCCAATTATCATCAACATAATAACAATAATAACAATAATTTGTTGTTGTTGTTGTTATTTCTACTATCACGGCTACAGGAGGAAAACTCTGTCTGACTGAATCTTTGCTGCTGCTCTACCCCTCTCCACCCCAGCTCCTCCTGCTAATGCTGGGTCAGATTTTACAGGTGTTACATTGATTGTCACTGATGCTAATCTGATTTGTACCCTGCCTTTGCTTATATAGTCCGCACATGAGGAGAGGTGTGCTGTCCTTGCTATAGACTTTGGCATTTCCCATACACGAATATGGACAGACAGGTATCCTTCAAGACAGAGCCCAGGGGTCTTTGCTGCGACTCTCCCTGCTTTGGCTTTTTAACATATTGATATGAAGCAGAGGTGAGGTCTGCTCTACCTACCTCAGGATTTAGAGCACAATCATACCAAATATAATTGACTGCATAACAATAATGATTTACTTCGACTTCAATGGTCCTGACTGAAGCCAGATGAAAGTCTCATTTTTATTCTACATTTATCCTGTGTTTCATTTTTAAGGGTACTTTCAACCTGCGCTGATATGAGGTACACAGAGGATATCGTCAAGTTAAAGTAGCCTGTGAAAAGGCAGCTGGTAATTATAGCTCTCAGTTATTATGTCTTTTTTTCCTCATTATTTAAATTTTCATTTTTCTCGTGTGGCTGTTCAACTCTGTCTCAATGTTTGAGAGTTAAGAATATGTGAGAGTTACAGCTGAGGAGTAAAATTCAGATTGAAAGACAGCGAAGAGAGCTCTATGAAGCGTCTGTGAATGTATTAAATTCCTCCTGACACAGAAACAGAGGAGAGAGTCAAAGACAGAAGCTCCATCACTCACTAACAAAACCAGGCTGATGGTGAACAGGCTGACAGCCGCCTCCTCCTCCTCCTGATGAAGGCCTCCTCCTGTCCTTAGGGTCAGTCATTACCTCTTCTTTTCTCTGATATCACATCAATAAAATATCAGCTACATTTATTCACTTAGCTGCTACAGAGCTGACACAGAGCATTAAACCTTAAACACGTCGCTCAGGGAGGAGGAAGAGGAGAGGAAACAGGAGCAGGAGGAAGAGGAAGCGAATGAAGGTCAGTCTGAACTTCATCACTGAAGGCTGAATTGAGACGAATACTGTGAGATTTATGACCGGTCCACTGTGTGAGGTCCACGCGTCATGACCAAATGCGTAATTCATGTTTCTATGTTTATGTGTTTTCTTAAGCAGCATTTTGAATTCAGAACTCTCCTTCACGTTCTTTCTGCAGGGTTAAAAACACAGTTTGATGTGTGTGTATGAGAATAACTCTGCGTTTGATAAAGAAATCACTGTTTAACACTCTCCTCTCTGCACGACAGAGTGTGGGCCTCTCTGCACGGCTGCAAATTAAACATCAAACTGAGATTTCAGCCTAAAACAGCAGCTCAGCATAAAGAACACAGCCTGAGAGCAAAGGAGCTGTAATAAAGTCTTTAAAGCTGAGTGACTCCCGCAGTAAAGATCAACATGTTTCTGTGTCCTTAATAGTCTATAATCACAGAGTGTGTGTGTCTAAATATAATCTGCTGTGGGGACCTTCACACTCCAAACATGGCTCCACTAAATAAGCCAATCATAGCTGCACGCTGCATTGCAAACAACTGAGAAACAAACGAAAATGCAAAACATAAAAAAAATACTGAACACGCTAAAAACAGACAAACACGCTGAAAAGAAGCTAAAACTACCAGGAACTCTGCAAATGAGTGAGCAGACTGCCACAAGCAAACATGCTGCAACAGCTGAGCAGCCTGCAAACAGAGCATGTGAAAACGGCAGCAGAGTGTTGCGGTGCCCGGGGGATCGCGGCCTGTATGAATCGTCTGGTTTCCAGGCAGCGGGCGGACACACCATCACAACAGGAGGAGAGTTTACTCAAGAGAGGATTCACTCTGACTCCCTTTGTGGAAACTTGAACCACAGAATCAGCTCATTTTTCTATTTCTGGACCTCCTGATGGAGGTTAGAGTCACTCTTTGGCTGTTAGGATGTGATGATGAACGCTGCAGGTCACATGACACCACACCCTGAAACTCTGCAACATGACAGCGTGAGGCTGACTAAGAGTGGCATAGACAGTGTTTCTGCTCCTTAAGACTGCTCATTTAGATTTCAGTGTAAACAGCAGAGGAGTTAAACAGTGAGATGAAAACATAGAGACATCCAGCACAGGATAAAAAAATCCTCAAACAGTGAGATGGACTGTATGGGCTTCATTCTATTCAGACCAACAAAAACCATTACAGAGAGATCTGATTTCCAGCTGAGAGCAGAGTGAAAGTTTTCCGTCAGGGCTGATCCTCAGCTTATGAATGAATTTATAGGAGCGTATAATTTGGAGCATATGAACAGCAGCCTCTCCTGCTGCATGTTTAATTACATAGCAACATGTCCACGGCGTCCTGCTGCCAGCAAAGACGGGGGGGGGAGCCAGCTTACAGCCCAGTGACTCATATGTTCTGCTGTTTTTATCTTTGGACCGCCGCTCCTCCCTCGCAGCTTTAAGACCGGTTTCCACTGACACCCTGCCAGCTAACGGCTAACGGCTACAGATGCTACCGGGGCCAAAAAAAAAACTGGGACAGAAATAACGTTAGCATGAGGTGAGAGTCTGCTTCCTCAGAGTCAGACAGTCTGGAGGTAGATGACTGAAGAGAGTGACGAGGGGAGTGGTCTAAATAAAACCAGAAACACCCAGAGAGGAAAAGAAAGATGAGAATCACAGGATAAAAACAGAGAAGAGAGAGAGAAAAAAGGAGGGGAGGAGAGGGAATTTAAGAGGATGCCAAGAAACCAGAGAGGAGGAGGGGGAGTGAGGGAGATAATGAATGGAGAGAGGAGGAGAAAGTTAGTTTCCCACCAAAATTGCTCTCAGGGGAGAACGATCCTCTCCAGCATCAGCTACTGTCTCCATCTATTCATCCATTCATCAGGAGGGCAAAGACACACACTGACAGACAGTGAGTGTACACACAAACACACACACACACACACACGGACACAGAGTGCTACACAAATCTGCATGTGTGTTTCTCTCTTTAATCCACATGCACATTTGTGTTTTTACAGAGCAGTGTGCAAAAACACTCTGAGGCAAACGAGCACAAAGCACAAAAATGATTCACTTTAACTGCTCCAAGTTTCCAGACATACACATGTATACATACGCGCACACACCCACACACACACACAGTTGATTTCAGATTTTCTTTCCCTGGAAACTTCAACAGAAAAAGTGTGTGTTAGCTGTTTCCTGGAATAATAGTGTAGTAAAAAGTAAAGAAATGGTGGAAGTCAAGTTAAACCAGCTGTTATAGAAATGGACAATCAATACTGCTGACGGTTTATCGTCAGAAAAAACATCCACGATAATTATTTGCCATTTTAAGATAAATGGGATAAACGCAAGTTGATGACGTACACGCAAACGATGGACTCACAGCAATCGCCTACACAGAGCGCAATAACAAACAAACGAACATGGCTGAAGGTGGGGAAAATTGGGGCTTTGATGAGTGCAGTCAGGTATGCCTGACATTGGACAGTGGATCTGCTGCTGCTGTTCACTCTGTGCAATAAGACTTTTGAATAAATGTTGAAAATGTTTTTACTTTTCAGATTTGTTTGATGTGACTAGTTTTCTCCATAATCTACCTCCTAAACCTGTGGTGAAGTGACTTATTTGACTATGCCAACTGGTAAGTGCCATCCAAGAACAATGTTTGAGGGTTTCTCAAGACAGAATGAGTCAAAAACATAGATTGGAATTATAACATTTTTTATCGGGGCTTTTATCGTGAGCACCAGGGTGGCAAAACTTGTTGTGATAATTCTTGAGCCCATATCGCCCATCCCTAATCTCATACACATCACACTTTCACCTGTTCCTCTTTCATTGCACTTTAAACAGATAGAGAGAGCTGACTAATGCATGCAGTCTGTGTCTGCGGGTAACATGAATGTAGAATGTAAACATGCACGAGACACAGCAGTCATTAGATACTGTAGCAACCACTCTGTTTAGTGTTTAACTGCTCAGCCTGTCATTGATGTTTAAAGCAGACACAGACTGCTGACTAACCACAGAGTCTACACCTGAGGAACATCATTATGAGGACTCCAACACAACTGTTCATCTAAGCCTCAGTTTCACTCTCAAGAAATAACAGATCCCTGCCAAAGATCTGCTGACAGTATCCTTTATCCCTCCCATTTTTTTCCCTGATATCATCACATCGAGTGTGATGATTGGTCACATACCGCCATGTACCCTGTGGTCTCTCTCTGCAGACTTTCAGAATAAAAGCACATCAGTATGAGAGCTACACTCCCAGCTGAAATTGATTCAGCCTTTTGCTCGACAACCTTGAGCACAGACCTTCGAAATATACTTGTGTGTGTGTGTGTGTGTGTGTGTGTGTGTGTGTGTGTGTGTGTGTGTAATTGGGGAAATATCGGGAAAGAGCGGGAGTTGGAAAAAGAGTGAGAGTAAACTAACAGAGGAGAGGTGTTAGTGGTCAGTCACATTTGTGCAATCCTGTGCACAGGTGTGCACGTCATAGCCTCTACATTTGATCTGTGACATTTCATTACAGGAGGACAGTTTCTGAAAAAATGATGCTGCTGCCTCTGAGGTCAACACCTGCCTCTCTTCATCCCCATCCTCCACACTTCCTCCCCCCTTCCCCCCCCCCCTCTGTCTTTCTCTCTGTGTCTCCCCTGGGACCGTTACCTCCTATTGGCTGAGAGGAAAGGCCTCAAGTTCAAAGTGTGACAGAGATAATCAGGTTTACAGGAGCTGCAGGCTGTGGGAGAAGAGATGAATAAGGAGAGGGGGAGGAGGTGAACAGGTGTAAAGAATTCATGCACCTTAAACTTTTATAAACATTATAAATCTGTGAATATGTAATTGTTAAGAGAAAACACGAGTGTGGTTTCTCTATTTAAACAGCAGAGGGTGCAGGTGAATATTTAAGGCGGTATAGTCGGTGTTTCCCGCATTTAGATGACACCTCTCTGTTAAACGAGCAGAGTCAGCAGCTCAGGCTCAGCTTTGAAGTCTGTATTTGTTGTTGAACAATATTTTAAAGCTGATAGCTGATAACTAGAAAATATGATGGTAGTTAGTTTCAGCTCTAACCAGAAGGCTTCACTTTGAGCTGTTCAGACTTTACTGGTCTTTACTTTACTGATCACCAAACACTCATTTAATCAGGATTATTATTAACAGAGCCCTGCAGACAGCCAGGAGAGTTAAGGTGTAAAAAATTCAACATCTACAGACTGATGAGTCATGGTGCCCATGCTATATAATGATGTTTTCATGTAGAGAGTATGGGTTAAGTCTGCAGACTGACTGTCTGTCTCTGAGTTTTTATAATAGATCTGATCCAGTAAAAACTGTCCTCTTCATGGACCGACATCTATCTCAGTGCTCCAACATCCACCAACATGTTTTATTCAAACCCTCTGAGCCCACAGATGACCCGGCAGCTCTGTTTCTACTGTCACAATAAATACACGTCAAGTCCCTTTAATAGAGCAAACACACACCAGAGTGTAAACCGTAACCATCGGCTCCCATCAGCTCAGACCTGCACCAAAGGACTAAACTGAACCTTTCACATGACTTTTAAAAAGGACTTATCTAAAACCTCTCAAGCTGAATTCACAGGACTGAGGTATTTTAACAGTTTGTAATTGTCTGAATTGTCCTGTGAATCCAATTTTTGTCACTTTTCTGCAGCAGCCTGGTCTCAAAGCATACACTCAGAGAGTTTCATCAAGATGTCCTGTTCCTCAGCGGGGCGTCTGATAGATGAGATCTGACAAGGAGGGAGGAAAGGAGCAAAGAGAGCAAGGAGAGGAAGAGAGGGAGAAATAGAACTTAAAAGAAAAAGAGAGAGGAGGAGAATAGGACATGATCTGAATACAAAACACTAAAAATGAGAAGGGAGATAAAGAGAGAGGAAGAGGAGGAGAGTTTTAAAAGGACAAGATGAAGGGATGAAGGAGAAGATATGAGGAAGATGAAAGACAGGAAGGAAAGAGTGACGGAGGGAGAGGAGTGTGCAAAATAAAGGAAATAGCCTTGAGAGGAAAGAGCAAGAGAGAGAGAGAGAGAGAGTGTAAATAGATCATATCCAGCAAAAAAGCTGTTTCCTGATGTATCAAATTAGTCTGTGCTGCTAGTTAGCTGAACAGCTAGTGCACCTCCTGTCTGCAGACATTCAGTCCTCACCACAGCTGACCTGTGATCAGCTCAAACCCTTCATCAGACACAGACCTAGAAAGGTGACCCTGAAATTTTATTGGCCTACCCAGTGGCCCACACTGAAATCTGAAACCCTGATCAGCTGCTGACATGCAGCAAAGGATCAGGCTAGAGATTGATCCAGCGACCACTGCAACAAGGACCATAGCCTCCATATGTGAATCACTTCTACTGCTGGGCTATATGTGCCTCTGCTTAGTTACCTTTTAAAGAGAATGTAATATATCCTAGATTGATTTATATCACTAGGTAAAGTAGACCTGAATAGTGGAGCTAAATCTGCTATAGGTCTGGAAAAAGTCTGAACCATAGACTGTATATAGAACGGACGCTGTCTGCCTCCTCACTGGGTAAAGTCACTCAGAGAACAGCACACCCTGGTGACAGGCTGCAGTATAGGTCATAAATCCTGCCTCTGCAAGCAAAGCTTATGGAGCTGTGGACAAAATTTAGAAATTTATTACACAGAATATAATTTTTCTCCCCCCTGCTTGCGATGTTGACATGTAGTTATTGTAAGACTGGTTTGTGCTCAAGTCCTCTTTTTTCTGTACAGCTCAGTTTTTAAGTTATAAAGGGGTTCATGTTTTCTATGATTGACACTTGATATAGCATATGGGCGTGCAAAGATTGCGTAGCTCACCCGAGTGATACCTTGTCTGAGCTGAGTGTCATCACAGAAACTCTGGGCGACTCTCCCGCCAAATGCGTAAAATGCCACTGCACAAGTGATGGAGTACGTACAACACTACAGCGCAATGTTGGTTTCAGGAAGTGGAGAAAAAACACAGAATTATCAAGACCTTTTTGGCTTCAAATCCATATACTGGTGAAAGGCAGAAATAAGTTGTCCAAAGTGTATACAGTCTATGGCAGGGGTGGGCAATCATGTGCCATGGAGGGCAGAGAGGCTGCAGGTTTTCTTTCCAACCCAAAACTCCACCAGGTGATTTCACTGATTAGTCCCTGCTCTCTGCTTGGAGGTAAGGTAATCAGTGAAATCACCTGGTGGAGTTTTGGGTTGGAAAGAAAACCTGCAGCCTCTCTGCCCTCCATGGCACATGATTGCCCACCCCTGGTCTATGGTCTGAACATTTGTCAGGACTTAAATGTTTTCTTTTCCTGTCTCTGCAGGGGATGAATGTGAGCACTGACTCCAGAGTAGAGCCCACAGAGCTACATAGCACATTTCGACCAAAAGTACCTGGAACTTGTTTTTTAAGGAACTAAAAGGTTCCTGCAGCCTGTTGTTGTCTGTTCTTCCACCACAGACTGAAGCCCCAGTATCAGTAACCCCCTGATCTACACCAGTGAAAAACAGTCAGACTGACTAAATACCATCAGGTTTCAGGGTGTATAATCCAGGATGATGTTCCTCCCCCCTCTGACAACACCAGCTTCATCCAATCAGAGAGCTTCCTGCGACAGAAACAGACGGTCTTGTACTGACTCACCTTGATGATGTCACCCAGGTAAACCTCCTCCTTCTTGTTGGGCACCTTCATTTGGAAGATCCGACCAACCACCGCTGAGGAGTCCGGGAAGGCGGTGGGTGCCGTGTTCTGCTGGGTCACAGACCTTTCCATGGTCTCCATAGCGACGGCCTCCATGGCGCGCAGACCCTCGGTCACTTCCTGGAAATCGTGCAGTAGTGAGGAAGTCATGGATGCCTCAAGCTCACTGCCTCTGCCCACGCCCTCCCTGTCTCCAGCTTCCAGTAACTCCATCCCTCCCAGTACGTCAATCTCAACCTCTGCACCTGCCCGCAGGGGGAGGAGCCCTGTCACCGCCAACAGGAAGCCCAGCAACAGGGCTCTAGTCCTGGGGAGTCTGACATCCAGAACGCCCCTGTCCCCGAGCCGTCTGACGCTCAGTCTGAGGTTCATTCTGCGCCGACTGTCGGCCCGTCACTGAGAGGAAACCAGGATAACAGGAGGATGTCCACACGAGAGGACTGAGGGCGGAGCATGCACCCCCACAGATCCAGCTAATCTCTCCTCTCAAAGCTCCCTCCCTCCCTCTCAGGCTCCGCCCACTCCTCTGCACAAACACTCTCCTGCTCGCCGCCTCCTCTTTTGTCCTCCCTCGCCTTTAGTCCTCCTCTTCCCCTCGCTCCTTTGTGCTCGTCCTCAGAGGGTCAGGAGTCCCATGGAGACCTGTGAAGGGAGGGGGGGCAGAGGTGGAGACAGAAAGGGATGGTTAGATCAGCTGCAGATTTCAAGTAAACTTCAGAAACTCTCTGTCTGAATCTGGAGTCAATTGTACCTCAAGTTCAGACCTTAAACTGACTCTGAACTGAAATCTTACTGTGAAAGGAAATCCATGGTAGAGGGGGAAGGGGGAGGCGGGGTACCCTTATTGATGTTGGGGAGTAATCTGATTAGTTCTGGCAACAGTTGGAACTTTCATCCTCTCACTCTCTCACATCCTTCCTCTAAATCGCTGAGCAGTGAAACATTGTCTGAGCTAAAGTTTCATACATGTAGTTAAGATGTGCTGCAGTCACATTATGTTCGGTGGCAAGTTACAGCAAAACAAACCAGAAAAATCTTATCTTCACTTTGGTCGTGACTCACACAAAGTAAAATTCAGGAGAAGTGAAATAACAGAATGCATCTCTTTAACAGGGCGCTCACTGAGCAGGTCTCTGCAGACTGTTTCCTCTGGGCAACACCTGCAGCACTGAAGGTGGAGGCAGCTTTTAACACAGACAGACGCACGGACTAAAGCTCTTACAGCCAGGAGGCTCCTCTGTGCCAAAATACATTTAAAAACACTTTGCATACATGAATCCTGCAGGTACAGAGCTCTCTGTTTTTCTCACATACAGTCAAATACTGTATGTCTGTTGCTCCAGTTAAAATGCTGCCTGTCTTTCCCAAAAACAGATTCTGGAAACATTTATACCCTTAAATTATTAAATTGTTTTTTTTTATGCAGAACTTATGCTTGTTAGTCTGTCTCTGTTCTTACAGCTACCTGTCCTTCTACCTATAAATGTTAAATGTCAAAGCTTGAGGTGAGGAGAGCACACCTCCCATCTGTTTCATGAGCAGACATGAAAAGCCAAAGCGAGGGGAGCAGCAGCAAGGACACCCAAAGTCTGTTCAAAGAGCTCCCTTCCATGTGTGTTTGAAGAGTGCCAAAACCTAAGGAGGGTAGAGCACACTTTCCCTCCGTTTTATGAGCATACATTAAAATGACAAACATATTCTGATTGAACGTAATAAAAGTTCATGATTGTTGACTCAAAGAGTGAAACGTTCCTGCTGCTTACTGAGCTGAGAGACGATACGGCTCTTTAAGATTTCACCTCGTTGCAAAAACACAACACTGCAACTGCTGTTTCCCTCCAGACTATAAAACACTGCTTAGTGTGTGTGTGTGTTTGAAAGAGAGAGGGAGAGAGACTGTGTGTGTGTGCGCGTGTAAGGAGGTGTGTGTGTGAAGGTGATATACGGTGGGACCTTGGATCAGCCAACAATAGAGGACCAGTCAGAGCTTCTTAGAGCCGTTAATGAATGCATACTTTCTGTTATTGTGAGAGAGGTCAAACTTAGTGTGTGTGTGTGTGTGTGTGTGTGTGTGCATGTATGTGTGTGTGTCCATTGTGAGTGAAGAGAGAGGGTTTGTTATTCATGCAGCTCCTTTCATAAAGGAAAGGATCCCCTCCTGAGTGTGTGTGTGTGTGTGTGTGCATGTGCTGTTAAAGAGAAAGGGATAGACAGGAGCAGAAAGAATGAAAGCGAATGAGGGAAAGCGCCCCCCCTGCTGTGAGTCCATTTCCCGCCTCAGAGAGTGAAATCACTGCAGGGTTTCCACGGATACAACACCACACCTCCAAGGTAGCTTTTCACTCTCTCTCTGTCTCTCTCTCTCTCTTTGTTGTCGCTTGGTCGCCCTCGCAGAGTTTCACCTTTAGACAAAAGTTTGTTTTTAATCAGGATTGCTGTGGCGACGCTTCCTGCTGTTTCCTTCACTCAGACAGGAAGTCAAACTGATCCTTCAGTTTAAAAGTTTCAACTTTAAACCTCCTGAATTAGTTTATCAATCCCTTCACCATCTAACACACTGCACTCAGATTATGTTGGGGACAGATGTTCTCAGTCATGTAAACTCCTCTATCAGACTAAAGCTGGCCTCAGTGATTTGAGCATGCTCCAAAGTTCACATGCCAAGCTTTGACCCTGAAGTTGAACGGGGGTAAATCCATTAAAGGAAACAAAAACCAGAGGTTGAAGGTACGTCACACCTTCTCTCTGAAGAATCCCAAACCTCTGGCTTGTCCCTCCCTGCTCCTTCATCCTCATCACAAACACACTCTGTCCATTCATGAAGGGACAATAGAGAGACGTGTGAGACGAGGGGGAGTTACTGCAGGATAAAGACGCTCTGTCAGAGTTGGAGAGACCGACACACAGACAGAGAGCTGACATTAACTCTACACCTACAACAACGCCTAAAAACACCCCAAATAACTTTTTTCCTCCCTGTCCTCTGTTTGCACATGTTTAGGGGCTGAACAAGACTGAATGAAAATGATAAAAGATTATTAAAACATCAGCAGCAGACTGTTTCCTCCTGCAGCAGCTGAACAGGTCAATAACAAAGTTCCTGTTGTGATCCCTGACATGCTCAGACTGTTTTTACTTTACAGTGGTATTTGACCCGTTCTGGTGGAGGGACAGTTTCAGACACTCTGACCCGCCCTGTGGTCTCTGAGCCAATCAGATGGCAGATTTATGTCCAGAAACTTCCCCACATGCTGATCATGTTCAGGCTGTGTGGGCGACAGACGGAGGGTAATTAGAGACGATCTGATGTAAGTGACGGGTATATTTCAGGAGACATGATGAGCTGAATTACTACAGACAAAGATGTTATTCTGATTTACTCACATTGTTGAAGGAGAATCTGATCCAAACCCCGCAGTTAATCACTGCTTTGCTTGGCATGCATTTTGTAAAATAAAGTGGTCTTAAACATTAGTGGAAATGGGGAACTGGTGGTCTAGCAGTCTGGGTGTGACCTGTGTTTTTGGAGACCATAGTCCTTTTGGCTGCAGTCACTGGTTTGACTCCTGGTTGTAACCCTTTGCTCAATCCCCTGTCTCCCACATTTCCTGTCTCTCTTCACCTGTCCTATCCAAAAAAAAGGGAAAATGTTCAAAACTACAAATCTAAAAAAATACTGAAATCTCCTGCAGCTCAGGGTCGATTAAAGTGATTTAAACATGCTGCAGACATACTGATGTTTGGATGCAGCCGGTGTTTTGCTCTGAGCAGTTTTACTCTGAGGATAACACCTGTCAGTTAGTCCAAAAGCCAGTATGTTTGCACCATCTTCCAATCTGCTGAATTGACCCTGTGCGGCAGGAGATTTCTCCATTTCTGCTGTGAGTCTCTGTCCCTAATCTGATTCACACTGGTTTATAATGGTTCATCAGCTGAACGGTGGACTCTCACTCTGTGGTACAATTCAAATCATCTCCGCAGCAGGGTTTTAAAAATTCATCCATGACGCTGCACTAACGCTTTGTTAGCACAAAGCTCCGCTGACCTTTACAGACTCGGTTTGAACTTTTTACTTCTTTTCTCTCAAATCTAAGAGACGTGAAATCTTTAGCTGAACACAACTTGAGACGTGACAAGTGAGTGCAGTTTGAAAACCTCAGGAACATCCTGCAGCATAAATACAACCATGTGTTAAACCATGAGTTATTATACCATGACTTAAACCTTGAGACCCTCCTCAGGTCTGAGAGCTGGGCTGTCAAACAGTGGCTCTAACAGCTGCACAGAGACCTCACAGATAGAGAAGTCCCCTTTACAGTCTGAAAGCTGAGACTCTCTCCTCTCAGAGTTAAAATAAGATCAGACGCATCAGCTGACTGACAACTCGTCTTTATAAAGAAAGTTTAAAGAGGACTCTGGCCAGCTTCCTGTGGGGATCAGGTGGACCTGGACAGGAAAACAGGGGAAAGGTGACAGAGGTTTAGGGGGGCGGGGTGGGACTGAGAGTTTGAGAAGCTGAAGGAGGAGAGGAGATATAAAAAGTTAGGTCAGTCGGAGACAGAGTGAACATGCTGCTTTGAGCAAGGTGGAGTCATCTCAATATCAGGGCGGGGCTGATCATGGCTGATCAAGTTTAACACATTTAAGGAGAAACAAACATGAGTGTGTGTGAGGAACAGAAACCTGTTCAGACCGTCTTTAAACTTTATTTATAAAATGCTTTTCATACAAAGGATGTAACACAAAGTGCTTTATAGTCCAGTAAAATAAACTACCTATAAAAAACCTCACATAAACAGTCTCCCCTAAAGCCACACATATGCACACATGCACATACACTAACAACCATATGTAAGGATGCTAAGATTGTGAATATTAGGCAGGGTACAGCTGAACCAGTTGAGACATGACATGACTCAACATTTTAAGTGTTTATTTAGAGACGCAGTTAAGTTTTACTGTCTGACCCTTTAACATGATGATCTCTTCGATAGCTCCGACTGTTATTCAGGGTTTAAAATAATCTGATCAGGTTAAATCTACAGGGTCAGATTAGATTAGTTAATCCTGTTTTTCTCTGGATCAAACTTGCAGGGTGTGATGTTTACAGGTAACTGTGAGTTTGGAATCAGGCTGAATTATAAAAACTACAAGAGAGGAAACTGAAATATTTGTACAATATCATCTCTAGACAGTTTATTTTTAATACTTTTAAAGTCTGTACAGAGACAGAGGAGATAAAGTAGACTTTACACAAAGAGAGGATTATGGATTATTTTAGTAAAATATGTATTCAGTCCACCTGTTTGACCTGAGCAGAAGGAGGTAAGGTTTGACTCTGTACAGACTGAGACATGCAGAGGAGCAGCTTTAATCTTTTCTCTGTATTTTATCATATTTTATTTTAGTATTTTTTATTTACACATGCTGTCTGAACTCAGAGCTTGAGGTGATTTATTTTATATATCCAAGCATGCAGACTTTAGAAACATTGTCCATCTAAACTCTGCGCTATCAAACAAATTTGATTGAACCTTATATTCCTCTGGTGATTGTGATTGGTTGTCTGGTTTCTGTGGGCGGGTTTAAGATTCCACGCTAGAGGTAGACAGATTAATGAGCAGGCTGATTTATCTGGATAATTAATGACATTTTAACATTATTAGCTTCACATCAGCCCTCACATCGCTGGTATCACATTCACCTTTACTAAATAAAACACGGTTTTATTATCACCAATGACAGCCTGTCAAATCTGTAACACTCACTGGTTAGAGTGCTTCATAAATTCTAATTTAATGTGCAGAGTCATGTATCTCAATGTGGTTTCTGACATAAATATCAGCCATGTACTGCAATCTAAAGGATAACCCAGTGTTTGTCTTTTTCATCAGTTCATCAAAAGCTGTTTTACTGCTGTTACTGACAAAAATCACAAGAGTTAGGTTTTAATGAATAACAGATTTATAAATGACCCTACTTCAAATAGATGGACTGATAACACAAAGTCTCTTTGGTGATTTTTGGTCTAAATCTATCAAATGAAATATTTGCTTAGTTCATTTTTTTCTCATTTGTAAGGCTCACTAAATTGATTTATTTTTCAAATTCAACAACAGCTACAATAACAACAGTGTATTATTAGTATTATATTTCAGCCGTCAGCCAAACTGCTCTTACATTATCAGCATCAGCTGTTCAAAACTGATATCAGTCGACCAGACTGATCATGAACAGAAAGACCCTGCGTGTGTGTTCTGGATTAGAGAGTCCACCTTTACTCTCAGATTAGGATAATTGCTGGATTAAACTCGTTTACTGTCATCATCCGGATTAATCTATGAAAACAGAGTCAGATTAAACCTCCAGTTTCAGTTCAGAGCCAGGCTGTGTGTTTGTGTGATGTCTTCATCAGAAGTCTATCGGGCTGCAGAATCACTTGTAACAGCCTGTATGAACTCAAATCTATCTCTGATCAGACTCTTTCAACTCTTATTCTCTCTCTGTCCTCATATCTGCTTTCTAAACAGGAACAGGAACATTATCAGAGAGATGTCAGTTTAGCAGGTATGAATATTTCTGCAGGTATAGTTATTTATGGACCAAAAAGGGGATGTAATCTCTATGTGGAGGTGAGGTGCAGATACTCAGTGCGTTAACATACACGGCTCAATTGGACTAAGCTATTGGACATAATTCGTTTTTTCGCCAAATCGGACTTCTCTCCTTGTCCGTGTATACATGCAGCTGAGAAAATTGAATTATTGACGTGAACATGTCCTCCTCCCCAAAGCTAGGGGGCGATATGGGTCTTTTCAGCTGCGCTGTTTCCGACCCCATACAACTGTCAACAACAACAGCAGGTCGGTGCCAGACATCATAAGTGGCTACAACTGCTGGTGGGCATTTTCCAGCAAGAAGATGGAGCATCGTAGAGCATTGTTTTTGTCGTACATGATGGACGGGCTACTTTTTCTGCAGATGAGATGAACGCTACTCCTCTTCTCTGGTGTTTTTGTTCCGGGGTTAAGGGGGCGTGGCGCACACGCACATGCATTGTCCTGTCATACTCCAACTCCGCTGGTTACATGGTAAAGAAAATTGAATTCCAATCACATTATCTGGGGTTCTTAATCTTGTTCTCAAACTCTGATTATAGTCGGACTGAGGTGTCTACATGCACTTCAGTTGTCCGCTCTTAATTGGAGTGAGGCAATGATTCAGTTTTCTCAAGTGTCATGATTGAGACAGTAAGAGTTCATGTTACTCCTGTCTCAGGTGTGTGTCTTTACCAGCTCTAACTAAAGATCAACAAGAGGGTGAAGATGATGACGATGAGGAGTAAGTTCAGGATGTTTACGTCCTGACAGAAAAACAGAGGATTGTGGGAAAGAGAAGGACAGCGGCCTCAGAGCGTGCTGACAGAGAAAACAGACCTGGAGGAAAGATCCGGACTCTCCTCCATCACAGCAGCTCTGATTCATGACGGACACAGAGACAGCTGGAACAGATGTGAACCTGAACCTTTAAACACACAAAGGATCATGGGAAAAAGCCGGCAGGGCGGGAAAACAGGACAGAGGGACAAGGAAAAGAAAAACATGACCCCACATACACACGCACACTATAAATATGATCTCAGTGTGTACACTAACACACAGCAGTCAGATATGAGGGTGTTTTCAGCTCTCTGTCACAGGATCAGGACTTTCATCAGGGCATAGAGCTCAGAGTGAAAAATAAAGTTTGTTTTTAAACTTTAGTCTAAGATTTATGGACTAAATATGAAAAACACAGGACGGTCAGTTATCAGTTTGACTTTTGAGGTGGCTTTATCAAAGTCGACTCAAAGGTCAAGAAAATATTCCACCCTGAAATCTACTGTCGCTGTCAAATGGCAGCTACAGTGTTTGGCAGCTGGACCTTCAGGATGCCCTCTTTATAAGATGAACCAAACATGATCATGTTTGGAGGATCATTTCAATTACATGCTTTAAGTGTCCTCCTGTAACCCAGAGACACTCCAGTAAGTTTGAGTCTGTTTATTCTGACTGAGGGCTTTCTGTTCATCTAAAATAGCAACATGAAGCTCAATGTGAAGACAAGTATAGATGAGTGATGACCTGATCAGCTGTTCGATTTGATTCCAGTCTGTTTGGAAAGGGTTGTTTAATGAATCATTAGCTGCGTTCACATGGGCACAAATAATCGAAATAAATACTTGATCAGAATTAAAATGTGTTATGTAAACACCAATTCGGCTCAATTGGAAAGAAATTGTATTCCGATCGAGAGGGGTGGTTTATTCCGATCATTACTACGAGACCCATCCAAGTAAACACTTATTCAGATCGTGACTCTCTTATTATTGAGGTCAGTACAGCAGGTTTCAATATGAACACTCTGGCATAAAACACAACTGCATGTTCCGTGTCTGCTCCATAACAAGGCGTACATACAACGTCATGATGTCACATCTGCACGCACAGTGTAACCTTTGACAGAACGGTAAATGAGTACACAAGGGCACCAACTAGTGACAACATTTAACAGGGGGAAAACTACTGAATTGGATGGAGTGAGCCAGAACCGTGTTTTGTTGACAGCAAAGGCGTAAATACAACTCTTTTTCTTCTGCGGTTGTTTAAGCGAAATCTGACAACTCTGCGCATGTCCAAACGCTTCAAGTCTGAATTAAGTTTGGTACATGTATACTCAAGTCATGATCTGATTATTTGATTTCAAACTGTGGATTCAGATTATTTGATCCCTCAAATTTTTAATCGGATCAAGAAATTTGGCCCATGTAAACGTGGCTTATGAATCTCTGAGGTGTGCAGCAGCAGCAGCAGGAGGGTAAAGGCTGAAAGTGGTGGGACAGGACACATTTATAAGTCTGGATTCCTCTTGATAAGCCTTTTTTTTATTTCAGCTGGTATGTTGTTATGTAAAACTGTCCAATCATGAGTGGTGGTGATGGAGGGTGTGGAGGTTATTTTAAACTCTTCATGGACAGAGTCACAGGAGGAAACAGTGACCTGGCATCCTGAAGGTGTGGCGTCTCTTCCTGCCCTCCCAGAGTTCAAAAACACAGAGCAAGCGTTTGATTCCTGGAGTCTGACTGAAACATGCAGAGATTTATTATCTCCAAAAACACAGACCTAAAGAGAAAAATAATCCTTTAACCAGAAACAGGACAGAGTCAGGACACAGAGACTGATGATCTCTGATCTGAGCGAGAAAAACATCCTTCAATCTGAGGGTTACACTTAGAGGACGACAGAGTAGGAGTCCAACCATTAGGGAGAGTGAGAGACCTCCTGATAGAGACAAATACTGTTTAGGTTCACCTTTACAATGTAAAAAAAAAACTTTGACAGATCTACAGATCAACCCTGTCCCCCATAGTGAGGACAGGAGGAGTCCTCAGTCATCAGAGAGACTGAAAGACTTCCTGCTATAGAAAAACATCCGAGCTGAATCATATATCAGATTTTAAGAAGATTAATTCAGGATTATTAAAGAGAGAGGAGCAGGAGAAAGCAGGTGTAGAGAGGACAGCACGATACTACATGATACTGTATGTTTTCCCCTCTTGATGTGTTTATTTTGGTGTCACGGCAGGTGATGCAGGCCCTGTCCCATGTCTTCATTTAAACAGCTGATGTCTGATAGAGTGACAGTAACAGTGAGACTGTTTGATCAGACCTGATCAATCATGTCAGTCTGTGTTTGATTAGATACACTGGCAGCTCTGATTATGAGTCAACACATATTCAAGTAATCTGTGAGATATGAAGGAACATGAGAAAATGTAACAACTCAAACTGGTCTCCCCTACTTTAGGAGGATGAGGATTTAATTCCCAGAGTAAAAGAGACACAGCAGGACAGAAAGAGGACACACACACACACACATACACACTTAAAACTCACACACACACACACTCTCTAAGAAGCCTGTGAGCTTCTTTCTTAGCGAGCAGAGAAAGCGCTGATGATGCTGAGCTGCTGTAAGCGGAGTGTGTGTGCATGTGTGTGTGTGTGTGTGTGAGTGTGTGTTTATGTGCAAGTTTAAGTGTGAAGGCTAACAGCTCATAAGGGGAAATGCTGCGATGCTTTGTGCATCTCAGTAGGCTAATTATAACGCTGCAACGCTGCAGAAACCAAACATGAAAGACCGACCAATCAGAGAATGGTGGGAAAGGGAGCGAGAGAGAGAGAGAATAAGCGAATAAGAGGGGAATAAAGAGGAGTAACAGAGTGATAGTTAGAGATTGTGTAGGTGGCAGCAGTAATTACATCTCACTCCAATTAACTGAAGCTGTTTTCACCGTGTGCATGTGTGTGTGTGTGTATTCTGAATGTGACTGAAGCTCTGTATTGAAATCAGTTTTTATCCCACACTAATATCACAAAACTCTTTAGTCAGCCTGGTGCTGAGCTAGTGTCACTTTCTGCAGGTCTGTGCAGTCGTCTATCTACACAGGAGTGTGTACATTCAGCCTGATGTTCACTTCTGTAAAGATCCCACAGTAAAGACTGTCAGTCCTGTGATTGGTCAATCTGAATTGTATCATGTTTCATGTATCTAAAGACGTTCAGGTATCAGTGTGTGTGTAAGCTGCTGTTGGTTTTACTCTGACTTTATTCTGTTTATAAAATATAAGTTTTCAAATATATTGTTTGTCCCTTGCTGCGTAAGTCTCCCTGCCCCTGTTTTCAATCAGTTTTGTTTAACCTTACTCAGCGGTGGTTCTGCTCAGACTGAAGTCCTGCTGTCTCGCTCAGTTGTTGCTCAGTGACAGTAAAGATTTAATGTTGGATCAGTGAGGAGACTGAAGACTGACAGATCTCTGCCCAAACCACTGAGAGATTTGTCTGAACACACAAATCTTTGTCCACAGGGGGCGCCAAAACCAACGCAAACTAACCGATCTGCACAGAAGCTGTAGGTCACTAATCCTATAAATCAACACAAATACAGGAGTTACACTTTAAGAAGTGAAAGCGAGAGAGAGAGAGAGAGAGAGAGAGAGAGAGAGAGAACAGGGAGCGGCATAAGGGAATGAAGCCGAAGGTACCCGTACATGTTGGCATCATAAAAACCAGTGGGGCTTTAATGCTGAAGGGTCAGTTTGATATTTAAGTCTCTGACTAAGATACTAAGATATGATTACTGTGTGTGTGTCTGTGTATGTGTGTGTGTGTGTGTGTGTAAGACGGACGGCTGCAGACAGTTGCTGGTGTGACTGAAAATGACAGCTGGGCTAAACACACACAACCTTTTTATACTGCACCACCCACACACACAATCTCAGTCTGGCTAATCTGAGCTCTGTAATCTGATGTCTGATGTGAGCTTTAATCCTCCACTTTCCCTCCAAAACCACTGACTCCTTCTTTCCTCTTTCCTTTCTTCTTTCCTCTCCCCCCTGCTCCTTCCTCCTTCAGTCAGCTCTGAGGGGATGATAATCCTCAGCGATCATATTTAGTGTATTAGCAGCTGGTCAGGTCAGAGTGTACAGTTTTATAGTTGATCAGAAGAGGATCAGAGAGAAGTTTCCGACCTTCACTCAGAGTTAAACTCTCCCCTCTGTTGGATCAGCTTCAGTTTGGATATCACAGATACTCAGAGTTATAGGCTCAGTGACAGCAACAGCTGATGTGGACATGTCTGCAGGTACGAACAGCTGACAGAGTTTGGTTTTAGTGATGTGCAGTGAGTTAGAGTTCATGCTTAGAGCCAACCAGCTTCACCATGTGGGCTGTATGAAGTTACTATTGCATTTTAGAGTGTCAGAAACAGACAGCAGACACATTACTGAATAAATAATCTTAATAAAAGATCTTATCTTGTGTCTTTTATTCTGTCTGTAGGTAGAGCAATAGATATTTTAGAACAAGTGAGATTTACACAGCTGTCACCTCCTCTCTACAGGCGCAGCACACTGACTCTGCACAGGTGACACTGAAACTCTTATAAAGCCAGAGATTATAAAAGTCAGGTGACTCTTAAACACAGCATCTAATATCTTAAAATTTCACAGCACATCAGAGCAGCTCTCTGAAGAAATAAACCCATCAAAACGACTTCTCTGACTTAAGTCTTCAAGAAATTTATGTTGCAAAAAATTGAATGTGTTGAGCTTGAAAATAAGACTGAGTTCTCGCAGGTAAAACACACACACACACACACACTTTCTCTGATGTGTTTGTGTTTGCAGTCTCTCATTTTAAACATCCTGCTGCTCTGTCTGATATCTGCTCCTCTCTGCAGCCTCCAATCACTTCCTCTACAACTTCTTCCCCCCCCCCCTCTTCCCTCTCAGTGGGGGGCAGTCCTTTAAATACCGTCCTGTTCCTCCTGCTTTCTCCCCCCTCAGTGGGTGACAGTCTTGTTAGGAGTGGTCGTATTGGTAAGCTGGTGATCTGAATAACAACAAGCAGAGCGAGGACGCCATGAAGGAATTAGCATACCTCAAACACGCTGCCTAACCACCCCCCTGTTCTCTGTAAACAACCACAGAAGAAGAAGAAGGAGAGAGAGAGGGCGCCCTGTGAGTCTCACTTCAGAAACACAGAGAGTGATTCGTCAGCATCTTTTTAACAGAAGGTTTGAAGCTCAGAGAGAAGAGGAGCTGTGACTGTGAAATCAGAGACCCTATGACGTGAAGACTCTGCTGCACCAACAGAGGGTGGGGGTTAGACTAATAACCCTGAAGAAACGAAGCAAACATGTCCACGGGACAAACATGTTCAGTGCAAAGAGGTTGAGAATGTGTCAGTATAAAGTTCAAAAAGTCTCTAAAAGAGCCGCTTTGATTACAGGCCAGGCTCTGCAGACTGAACACCTGGTTTCAGGTGAACATGAAGAGGATCCACATGATGTTTAAACTCAAAGCAGATGATGGCATGCCGCCTCCAGCTGTTAGTCCAACTCTGTCATTCCTCTGAGTTTGAAGCAGACAGGTATGCTTCTCTGAAGTGACTCCTGCAGCAGGTAACTGATGTTCACAGATGAATACTTGAATTCCTCTCTGGTCAGGAAACAGGCTGAAATTAAAAGGTTTGACCTTTTATTACCTACAAAAACACACACAGGCCTATCACTGTACAGGCTGAGTGTACATGTTGACATTTTTACCATATGACGGAACCTCACAGGAGCTTCAACCTGAACCTGAAAACACCACAGTTCTTGTGAAATCGTCTTCTGTGTTGGGTTATTTAGGAGAAATCTGTTGTTTTTATTTTTATTATTTAACTCTGACCCCTCAGTGAAAGATTATGCGACCCTTCGAGGGCACCATAAAAACCTTCATCAAACTGCCACACCATCAGTGATTTTAAGTGTCTCAGAGAAAGCAGAGCTCAGAGCTTCACGTCTGATTTGCATCACTGTCACAGGAAAGAAAGACTGACTTTGAGAGGTTTGAGAATAAGTCAATGAAACATTTTTAGCCTTTATTTCCTTCAAACTGAAGAAACTCACCGCTGACAGTCTATCTGACACAGAGCTCACCTAATGATAACAGGACACCTGCTGTCACTTTGACTTCATCGCCAAACACTCAGCTCACACAAAGTCAAATAAATTCATATACAGCCATTAAAGAAAGCCTCTCTGGATCCTGTAATCAGATTAGTTCAGGACAGATCTGAGAGAAAGTCGGGTTTACACTGACGAGAAAGTTTGAGCACAAACACTGAGTACTAGAGAAGCTCCACTGCTTTGGTTTGTTCAAAAACAGGAGGTAAGCGGAAAAAAAAAAAAAAGATTAGTGGACACAGGCCCTCATACGTATCAAATAACCCCACTGTCATAGAAACAGGCCCTCATATCTTAAGAAATAACAATTAAAAAGAAACTTGCTAAAGATTCAACCCCTTATATTCAAAAGACCTGTGGGTGGATAAAGGCCCTTATGTCTAAAACCAAAACCCCATCAGTGGATACAGGCCCTTACAGACTCACGTACTCATGTAAGCAAAAACTCCTGCTAATGTTAAAAATTATGAACAAAGCCTTCTACAGTCTCATGACACAGTTTCTCTGTGTTTAAATGAGGAGCTACATTAAAGGGACTTTTGTTAGACATTTACCACAGATTAATCAGTGCACGACATGTTTCAGGTCACATGACTGACACTGTATGCCTTGTGATGTGACCTGAGCACACACACACGTTGAAATCATGACGATGTACAGATATACGGCTCTACAGCTTTCTTCTACAGGATGAACATTGATCTGCAGACTCGATCAGTCTGAAGCTGCTGGAGATGATCTCAGACTAAATTAGGTTCACCTTTGGAAATGTGATGACAGAAAACCGTCTGTTTCTCCACCTCAAACAGCACACCTGCAGGATGTCACTGTGTATCCTACCTGTCCTCACCTGTTACTACCCCCCTCCTACGCTCATGTTCTCCCTCTCTACTTTTTCCTGTTTTTCTCGGTGTAGTCTCTCTCTCTCTACAGCCCAATCAATCAACAAATCCTGCTGCTGCATCCTCCTGTCACTCCTCCACCAACACACACACACACACACACACACACACACACACACACGCGCACGCACATGCAGTGTGAATCATACGGCCTTCACAGAGCCGTAGATTGACGGGTGGATGAGCGAGTGGATGGATGAGTGGGTGGTGTGTGGGTGGATGAATGGAGAGATGAATGGCAGGGTGAATAACGGGATGAAAGGGTGACTCATGACATCCTGATCCGTTACACACATCTGCACACGAGCTGAAAGGGGGTGTCTATCAAAGCTGACAGCTGCCCTGCATCGTCCACACACTCATTTACAATAAAGTTTGTTTAAACAGGTGCAGCTCCTTTTCTTCTCTCATAATCCACATTCATGTAGGAAAAGAGGAGGCAGCAAAGATCAGGCTGATCATTACCATTCATACCTAATAAGAAACCTAATCTGATCAATAACCCGCGTGGTTCTCAGACAGTCAATGAGCTACACTCAGATCGATATGTTTGGCTGTTTTCTGAGTATTGAAAGACCTCAGAGTAAACTGTAGTAGTATACACAAAGACGTGATCCTCGTCTGCCTGTCTGTCTGTCAGTGATGATGGACTTTGTGTTTCAGAGCAGAGGAAACCACCACCACATACCCAGGAGTACAGCTCTCTCATCCTTGAAGGAATTCTCTGTTACCGTGGAGACGCCTTTGCTATACTAAGCGGGGGAGAGAGGGTGAGGAGGGTGGAGAGTTAAACGTGAGCTTCTGTTCATTGAGGATTAAAATGAGAGCTCACATTCACAAATATCTGAATCATCCTTTGACAGAGAGAGAGAGAGAGAGAGAGGGGAAAGAGGGAAGGAGTCGTGTGACAAAGTGGATTAAAGAGGTGTTTACTCTGAGCGCGTTACAGCATCAGGGCCGACAGGTGAGTTTTACCTGCTCAAGTCTTTTCATACCTGATCATCACAGAGGAGTCGGGGCTGGAGTCTGACTCAGAGCAGAGCAGCTAAAGAAACAGAGGACAGGTAAACTCTACACCTGACAGAGACATGTCTGTGTGTGTGTGTGTGTGAGAGTGTGTGAGTGTGTAAACTAACGCGAACACATAAATAAACACACAAACTAACACTGACACAGCTGGCAGTGTGTTAGTGTTGGTTTGAGGTAAATCCAGCAGGAGGAGGAAATGAGAGAAGAGAGGAGCCGACATGTGAAATCTAACAGGCAAACACTAGCAGCTCAGTGTGTGTGTGTGTGTGTGTGTGTGTGTGTGTGTGTGTGTGTGAATAGACGACATTGTTGCTCCTGGTGAGCAGGCCACCACAAACAGCATCTCACACTCCCACATGTGTACAGGTAGCACTCATATGAACACAGACACACACACACACAGACACACACTCACAGACACACACTCACACTTTCTCTCTGTAGGGTTTCTCTCAGCAGGATCAAGTCCTCGGGTCACACAGACTCACTCTGTGTGAACAGTATTTGGAAATATTTCATATTTCTGTATCTGGTTTCTTTAAGGTAACTATAAAATGATGGTTTTGTTTCAGTCTCTGGTCTCACAGTGTGACTTTATACCCCTTAAATTGTTGTTTTCTGAATGTGATACCTGTATAACTCCGCAGAGTCTCAGTGATCCAGAACGGATTAAACTGCTGCCACATATCTCGACTAACACTGAGCTGATACAGGACAGCATAGCCTCAGTCTGTGAGGTTCTGCTCCCAATCATATGCAGGAATGAGAATTTACTAGTGGCCCCACAATACAATATTATCACGAGACTTGGGCCATGATATGATATTACTGCGATTTTTAACATTTTGCAATCCAGTGAGTATTGCGATACAATATATTGTGATCTATACAATTTTTTCAACTGTTTAGCTAGTTTAGCATTTGGCTTCATTTATGTTTGTCTTATTTACGCTGTATTTTACTTTCATGTAGCACCATCTTGCAAATCTTATATATTTGTTGTGCTAACTTTTTCCTGCTCTATGATGTGATGTCTGCCAACCTCACTGGACAACATTTGATTTTATTTTTCCATTATCATAGATTTGACTTCATATTAACAATAATTTGAAAAATCAATACTTGGTAAATGAGATGATACAATTCATCACCAGACAAACTATAGGGGTGCTGTAGGGCTGGGCGATAAACCGATGACGATTTATATCAAAAATTAATTTCCCTCAATATCAATATGAAACATGGTCAATATGCTTTTTGATAGTCAGCAATCTTCCATGTTTTGGTAGACTATATGAATAGCCAATGAAAAGAGGAGTTGCTCCAATGAAGGCTCAACAGATGATGACATCTTCGGCAACACAGGCACAAAATGTTTCAATGGTGTGAAGGTATTATGTTTTTTTGAGGTTGGACATGAGAGAGTAATGTGCACTGTAAATTATGTCGAGTATGTGTTTTTTTTCGCAAAGTCGGGGAACACCTCAAATCTTTTTCACCACCTGAAGCAGTGCCACCCGGCAGAGCACGTTCAATGCAAAAGGTTACAAACCCCAAGCAAAGCAAGAAGCCCATGGCGCTTGTGCAGCTGAAACAGCCGACCATTCAGTCCGCTTTCCTAGTGCAATGCCTTACGACAAAACGTTAAAGAATCACAGCTTATTGTATTGCAAAACATGCTACCAATAAGCACTGAAAATTTCATTCTTATATCATGATAAACTTCTTCCTATATCGCCCAGCCCTACTTTGCTGTATCGATTTTTCTCCCACCCCTATTCATATGTCCTCCTGTGCACACATACACATACCAGATAATGCCACACTAACCTGAATATAAAAACATCTCTAAATTTTCAGACCAGCTCCTGTTACATGTGGTTATTATAAAGAGAGAGACCAAATTATTTTAAACAGAAATGATTAATTTAAAACAATTATCCCCCAAGGGAACTTCTGAAAACTGAGAGGAAAAAAATGTTTTTACAAAAATCGAAATACAGGTGGACACAGCTTTAAATAAGGATAATCATATACCCAGAGTACACTGAGAGTCCGAGAAGAGAGGAGAATACCTGATCTGAACCGAAACAGGTACATAAGACTTTAATACACATGTTAGAAAAGACTGAACAGACCCAAACTCAGAGCTGTTCAGATGCTGGAAGTTCGCACTCTAACAGCTGACTGACAGTCTGATCCATCACTGCAGCTCTCTGCCTGATTTATCAGTCTCTATTTAAAACCCTATGAAACCATGACAACAGAGACCTTCCCCCGTCAGCTCCAGTCCAGCTCAGACCCTCAGAGCCGCCGTCACCATCCGAGCCCGTGTTTGCCTCCATCTCTCTTCAGACTAAGAATAGTGTCCGAGCATCAGCACCTTAAAACAGACAGCACGCAGTTATTTCCTCACTATGACTAAAGAGCCACGTGGTTATCGACAGGTGGACATCCAGGCGTGAGGAGGAGGGCGTGATGACGGAGTGGCCGCGGCGTGACGAGAGCGTGAGTCACACACAGAGAATAGAAACCAACTGTGGGCAGAGGATCACTGCAAAGAGCTCACAGAGGCCTACCTGATTTAGACTAGAGAGGGGGGAGAGAGAGGAGGAGGAGGGGGGTGTAAATCTGTTCTCCCAACCTGATAAAGACGCTCACCCCCTTACATGCTCTCTCCCTCTCTCCTCAAGCTTTTATGATGAGACAGACGGAGAATCAGAAACTGATCTGTGAGCCGACAGAAAGTCCTCTTTCCTCCAGGAGATAAAGACTGAAGATCAGCTTCATCATGAGGACGACACACACACACACGCGTGCAGGGTTTGATAGCACAGAAATACTATCTTGTTAAGGATTAGCTTCATTAGGAGCAGCTCATATGTGGAGAGCAGGAGGTTAGAGGACTTGAAGTGTGTTTGAAGTCCAATCAAACTAAAGCAGCTCAAACTGAGACTATGAACATGCGAAAACACGGTGGATAAGTAAAGGGGAGTCTCTCTGAATGCAGTTACTTTCAAGGTCTTAAAAATGATCCTTTAAGTGTCTAAGGTCAGAGGTCAGACTATGAACTCCAAGCTTTCAAATTCAAACCCTCATTCAAACTCTGGTGGAATTGGCAGCACTGAAGAGCTGCACAGAAACAAGTGTTCAACACTGCACGACTGCCTTTTAATTAGAGGTCCCTTACCAGAGGCCTTGCTGGAGAAAGGCCTCACTGATAGTCAGCCTGGGGTCTGCACTCTCCTGTGCCTCTAGTTTAAGTCAGCCTCAGGTCTGTATTCGGCTGTGACTCAGGGTGACTTAAGGTCAGCAGTTGCTCAGCATTTTAGTTCTTACATAAAAGAGAGAAGAACAGAAACCCAAACCAGAAGCACCATCAGGATTTCCTCCAAACCACAGAAACACACACACAAACACACACTTACACACACACTCTCTCTCTCAAACACAACACTGGTTAGCTGACCCTGGCCTTTGCTCTGAAGCTGATGTTTAAAACCAAAATCAAATCATGCAGAAACTTGCAGCTATCAACGTGTGCATGTGTGCGTGTGTTCAGGTCTGTGTAGCGTAGGTGTTTCTGTGGAACTGCAGCTTCATGTTTCGACTCATCGGGATGCTTCTGCTGCAGAGTCTGCTGCACCTACAACAGCTGACTGAGGAAGATCTGCACACACACACTTCATTCAGTACTTACACATGCTTAAAACACACATATAACTACACACACACACAGGTATGCTCACCAGTCAGAGTGTGAAACAAACAGTGTTGGGGGATTACAGACAGCATGTCTACAAAACACAACAGGACGTCTGTTTACACACACACACGCATGCACGCACACAGACACAGTGTGTGTGCTCAGCTGCAGCTCCTCTCTGCATACATGTCTGATCAGAGCACAGTAAAGTAAAACTAACTAAAACTGAGCTGGGGGGTGGGCTGGTCTGATTATTGATTTAGGTCCGTCGGTCAGGCTCAGTTATTCGGCCCTCTTGGCCCTCTGTGCAGGATTCAGGAGAAACGGCCCCTGGGGGACCACTCAGCCCCTCCAAACTGCCCTTTAGGGTTTAGCCCGTCCTTTCAGTCCAACAGGAGCTGAGGGAGGAGCTGCTGGGAGTCAGTGAGGAGTAAGACCATTAAAGAGAGATCCAGAGAGAGGATCAGGACAGATGGGTTTAAAACGAGGGGGGGACTTCATGAAGAAACACACTCTTTACTTCATACTTCACACTCATAAACACACACACATGCACACACACTATCAGAGCTCAGGCCTGCAGACAAGAGCTGAATCCTGACCAGGAGCTAAAGGTCAGACTGCAGCAGACTGTCTCTAAGAACCTGATTGTAGACGGGCCAAAGAGGACAGCTCTGTGAGGGCCGAAAAAAAAACTGAGCCAGGTCTGCTAAGACCAGCACCAGGACAGGAGGGAAGAGGTATGCCGGGGGGGCACCAGGGGGAGGTAAGGACAGGGACAGGTTCATTTACAGACAGGCCTTTATAAACTCATTGGATTTCTACATGTTCAGAGGTTTTTGATTGGATGTTGTTCAGCCAATCACAGAGCCTACTTTAATTCAAAACAGCAAGTAAAGCTGTGCCTACTTTCAACAAACATGGTCATGACCTTTAAAATTTTCGAGACAGAATTTCACTCCATAAAGACCTTTTTTTCCTGTGTGTGTGTGTGTGTGTGTGTGTGTGTAGGTTTTTAGCTCCACAAAGTTGTTGCTCATTTATTTCGATTTTATTGATGTCATTTGCACTTTACGATTGAATTGGTCTTCAAGTTTTATCGTTTTGCTGATTTTTGGCCGACTTTCTAAAATTAAATCAGCTTCAAAAACAACACTGGACTGGAAATACGTCAGAATTTATTACACATGCTTTGACATTTTTATTATTTTATTTGCAAGCTGCTCTGTGTTGATATTTTGGGTATAGATATGACAGGGGGAAACAATCAGAAAACAAACTCGGAGATCAGATTTTGATCAATCTTGACTTTAAAAGCAGGAGACGTTCATTTCCTGTTAACCCCATGCTAACCCTAATCCAAACTGTGCCATGATGCTGCCACGTGTTGGTTGGTTTGACATGGTGACATGGATATGTGGTGCGATGTGGAAAAGACCAGTAGGGGGCAGTGTAGAGACAGAGAGGAAACAATGACAGAGAGTTTAGAGGCAGACCGGTGGACAGAGTCCTCAGGTATCCTCATCTGCAGAGACGAACATGACAGAGAGAGTGGAGTACAGATTTACAGGATGTGTAAACCCCCAGAATAAATGTAAAACAAAAAAAGGTGTAAGAATATGTTGACAAGAACAACATGCAGTGACTGTTTGGAAGAATCTCACAGTTTCTACGATTATTTTAGCAAAACAAACAAAAAAATAAAGTGTGTTGTTGTGAGATTAAGCTAAGTGTAGCTTGGTGTGTCTCTGAAACCTTGTACTGCCATTTTTACAGTCAGGAGAACACGAGGAATGATGATGAAGGATTCAGACACACTCAGACTGACTGACAAAGATCTCTGGAAGCAGTTGGAGCAAAAACTAAAGATTAAGTCCTTTTATTTAAGTTTTAATATCTCAGAAATAGTTTAAGGGTCACTTTACCTCCTGGTTAACTAGTTTACTCTTTGGGGGATAATTTAGTAACATGTCAAAAACAATGTCAAGTGTCCAGTTGTGACGTGATGTATGTGTCCATCTGTAACATAGGCCTGTCTGTGTGTGTTTTTGTGTGTGCTGTGAGGTGAATTTATCCTTTTTTTTAGTTGTTTTATCTTTTAAATTTGACGCTGTGAGGCACTCTGTGACAGCTGTCCTTAAAAAGGTGCTAAAAGTATACTGTAATTACTTTAAAAGTGTCAGATCATTACTCTGTTGTATGTGTCTGGTTTAAGATTAAAGATGAAATCCAACTTTTGTGCTGATTCCTGCTTATTTACATTAACTCACACTGATCAGTGCTGGCTAATGTACTTTGTCCTGAATAAATACACTCATTAAATGAGGTGTGAAAAGACTGAGATTATCTGAGCAGGTAAACTGACTCTGGAGCTCAACAACCAGCTTTTTACTATCCCTCCATCTCTACTTTCAGCTCCCCTCTCTCTCTCTCCCCCCTCTTTCTCGGTCAGAGGAGACACACAGACCTCGGCAGGCTGTCTAACGTCTCCATGGCAAAGCGGACGTGAGTGGAATCACGATAAATGTGGGCGAACACATCCTCCTGAGCACGAGGCTTCACCTTTAGCGGGGAGGATACACCTTCACACGCACACACACGCGCGCACACACACACACACACAGAGGGGCACGAGACCAGGTGTGTGTATTCAAGTGCTCATGATTTTCTGATCTAATGACTTCTGTGACACGTTTCCACAATCACTCACACACTCACACATAAACTCACACACACTTAGACCAACTTTAGAGTCTTATTATGCACGCGCACATGCAAGCAAGAACAGCACGCGCCTCTAAACACCAGTCTGTCAAACACTGAGGTGTGTAGCTGAGTGTGAGTCCACATTCAGAGACTGAGAGAGACTCTGTCCTCCACAGGACTCCTGAAATAACCCGGACACACACACACACACACACACACACACACACACACACACACACACACACACACACACACACACACACACACACACAGGGTGTAAATTCTCTCCCTCTCTCTCTCGGACCGCAGTCAGTCTTCCTCTAATGCACCTGTTCTTGTTTCAGGCCAGGGGGGACTCAGAGGAATGAGGCTCCACGCGGCTTCAGCTGTCCACGCGAGGAAGAAGGGAGAAACAGAAGGAGACAAGGAAAGGAAAGGAGTGCAGGGAGGTATGTAGCAGGGCGGTTGCGGGGATAAGTAGCCAAGCAGAGAGCTAATAACACAGCGATCCTCTAAAAATATCCTGCGCCCTGAGCTGCGCCGCCGCTGCCGCCGCCTGAATCACGGCGCACTGAGACGCACCGAGCCGCCCAGGACCGTGGACCCGGATGTGTTTTCACACCGTTACACGCTGCTTTGAGTGTGCACAATCACATTTGAGCAAACACAGAGAGAGTCAGAGCTGCTGGGTTTATTTCCTCTCAGCCCCCCGATCTCTGTCCACGAACACGCAGAGAGGAGAGGAGAGAAGAGCGACCGAGCCTCAAAGAGAACCACAGCTTCAGCACAAGGAGCTTCGAACAGAGCCTCAAACACACACAGCCACAGCATACAGAACTACACAGACCCACAGCATGGCAAACCGAGCCTCAAACTGGCATTCAGATCCACGAAGACCCTCATACCAAACCACAGTACAGCGAACAAATCCATAGCAGATCCACGCAGAGGCGATATTCAGAGCTGTACTGACCGTAGAGCTCCTCCTCGGTCGGGTCCTGAGGTAAATCCTCCCTCTTCCTCTGCAGACTGTTGCGATTGCTGGCGACAGGAGAGTTCGGTTTTCCTCCTTCCTCCTCACTCTCACTCCTCCGGCGGACAAATATAGGCTGGCTGCTCGGTGTCAAATCTCCTCCTCCCGCCGCTCTGACGGGCTGGCGACACGATGTCTCCGGAGTTTCACACTGAAGCTCATTCACCGCAAGATAAACCACAAAAATCACCAGAACGGAGTCACACACACACGGCAGAGAAATCCTGACGGGGGAAATGCGCTGCGTAAAAACCAGAAGAAGCCCAGCTCCAGCAGAGCTCCAGTCTTCCCAGTTCAGCTAAGACCCGGGCCCGGAGAGGAGGCTGCCGCTGCTGCTGCTGCTGCTGGCCGGGAGAAGAGCTCCAAATACCGCGTCCACCACTCCAGAGGAGCTCCACACAAATGTCCGCTGCTGAGCCTGAAGGATGAATTTCCACCCGGAGGAGGAGCGGAGAGAGAGAGTGAGTGAGAGAGAGAAAGAGAGAGAGAGGGGAGGGGGAGGGCAGTGCCTCGCATTCTCTGAATTACTCCTCCCCCAAACTGCCTCCCACCTCTCCACTTGTTATTTTCACTCCTCCTCTCCTCCATTCACTCCGTTTGTCTCCCTCTCTTTTCCCTCTTTGTCTTTTCACCTCTTTACCCTCCTTTCTTTTTTTGCCCCTCTTTGTACTCTCTGTGTGTACCTTAATATAGTGTGTTTTGTGTATTTTTAAGTGTGTGTGGTCATAATGATAACACTGATCTGCAGATGATCATCCTGCATTTTTTAAAATCCATATTTATGTCTTTTTCCTAATAAGTGAAATAAAAAGTCTGATTTTAAAAAAAAGGTATGGTATAGCTAACGATTAAATACAAAACCCAATTCCATTGAAGTTGGGAAATTGTGATAACGTAAATAAAAACAGAATACAATGATTTGCAAATCCTTTTCAACCTGTATTTAATTGAATAGACTACAAAGACAACATATTTAATGTTCAAACTCAAACTTTATTTTTTTTTTTGCATATAATCATTAACTTAAGAATTTGATGGCAGCAACACGTGACAAAGAAGTTGGTAAAGGTGTCAAAAAATACTGAGAAATTTGAGGAATGCTCATCAAACACCTATTTGTAACATCCCACAGGTGAGCAGGCTAATTGGGAACAGGTGGGTACCATGATTGGGTATAAAAGCAGCTTCCCCAAAAAGGATGGGGCGAGGTTCACCACTTTGTGAACAACTGTGTGAGCAAATAGTCAAACAGTTTAAGAACAACGTTTCTCAAAGTAGAATTGCAAGGAATTTAGGGATTTCCGATCCCTCAGGCGGCACCGTATCAAAAACTGACATCAATGTGTAAAGGATATCACCACTTCAGATAACCACTGTCAATAAGTACAGTTTGTCGCTACATCTGTAAGTGCAAGTTAAAACTCTACAATGCAAAGCGAAAGCCATTTATCAATAACATCCAGAAACGCCGCCGGCTTCTCTGGGCCCCGAGCTCATCTAAGATGGACTGATGCAAAGTGGAAAAGTGTTCTGTGGTCTGACGAGTCCACATTTCAAATTGTTTTTGGAAATAGTGGACGTCGTGTCCTCCGGGCCAAAGAGGAAAAGAACCATCCGGACTGTTATCGATGCAAAGTTCAAAAGCCAGCATCTGTGATGGTATGGGGGTGCATTAGTGCCCAAGGCATGGGTAAGTTACACATCTGTGAAGGCAACATTAATGCTGAAAGGTGCATACAGGTTTTGGAGCAACATATGCTGCCATCCAAGCAACGTCTGTTTCATGGACGCCCTGCTGATAAATGATAAGTACTCCAACTCATGTATCCCCTCAGCGATCAGGCTGCTGAACGCTGAGAAGTAGCAGAATTGGGCCTGTGTTAGATTTTGGGCTGCTGAATTCGGGGTCTCATGATTGTTTTAGTTCTTATTTTACTCTTTTCATTGCATTATTTTTTTAATTGCATTTTAGTCTTTCCACTGTGAGTGCATTGCACATGTGTTTATTATGTAGTTATTTTATTTATTGCTGATTTATAGTGCTGACAGGGGAGTGTTTGGGCCATATGCTCCAATGAATGTCTGGTATTTGTCTGTTCCTGATCGTTGTTTGTTCCTTGATTTAACAACAAGGCGGGTTACTGTGAACTGAATTGTCCTTCGGGGATTAATGAAGTTGTCTGAATCTGAATCAAAATGAGTGGTGACTAAAACCACAGGTTGCAGGGTTTACCTTTAAACTAATGGTTAAGGTACATCAATCTGAAGTGGATTTTACCTCTAATGCTGTCGGATTTCATTCATTTCTGTTTCCATTTTCTATTTCTTCTTGGTATCTATTTTTCTTCATTAGATATATCATGTTCAACGTATTTAAAAACTCTTTCTTAGGGTTCATAAAGACTGAGATGACTCTGAGTCGATATAGAAAAACTGTGGGGACATAAGGCTGTATGCAAGTTTATTCAGAGTATATTGGATAATCCATTAGCTTCCATCAAACAACAAGGTCCTGTTTCCACTGTAGTAGGCTTTTATTTTATTTTTTCACCCATCTCAGGGTCTTCATACTCTTTCCCCGCTCTAGGTTATGAAAGTTGTGCTGCGACAGTTTCTCTTCCTGTTGTCGTGACCATCAGATTGATTTTAAATGTGTTTGCAGGGACAGAGCCAGACTTTTATGATCATGGTGGCCAGATTGGGGCTCAGACTTCTGTAGGGGTGCCCAGGCTTTGTTAACTTCAGGGGCTCACCCCAAATCTCTGAGGGTTATCTCCGCCACTCACATCAACTTGAGGTGCTTATGTTGGGGGTAAAACAGAGTATCAAAGTTTACTTTTACTGAACTTGATTCTTTGAGAGGTTAAAAACATGTTTGTCTGAAAACATGATCAACCCACGTAATTGATTTTGATATGAGAGACGCCCCTGACAGGCCAAGAGCCAGTCATGGTTATGAATTTGACTAATCAGACTTTAGGGGTGGCCATGCCCCCCGACCACCCCTAGCTTCGCCCCTGTCTGATTGCCTCATAATAGCTCTCCACTTGAAACTGAACCTTAATCACAGTGTGGTCTCTCATCTGTACACACCTCCACCACACAAATACATGATCATAAGATCAGTCCATTCTTCGCTCTGATTGGCCAGGCTTTAAGAGGTGACCTCTATAGGTACAGGAATGCTCCATGAGTTATTATCAAATGAGAGTGCACCAGCAAAAACAGCCAAAGCTGAGGACACTGAAAATGCTAATGCACATTTAATGTGAATAAAAATTATGCTGTTTGTGGAAAAATCAGCATCAGAGTATGACCCCACCACAGGTCACTCATCAGGTGTGGAAACCCCCATCCCGGTCAATGTGTATGGCAAATGCCTCACTGCGCAAAGCATTGTGGTATGCAATGAACACCATTTTATTTGTGCTTACAGTTATCTTTATAACATTTATTCAACATAAAAACGCTCAGTGGGATGATGTGTTTCCTGACTTGGAGCAGGTATCATTTCAGGCCTTAACCTGACCGAGGAGACCACTTCATATGGGCTGAATTTATAACAGGAGATCCTGAAGACTGTCGGCCTTAAAGAAGAAGCAGACAGGTTCTTTAAAAACAGCTGTGTGAGTTATCGTGACGCCTGTACATGGCCTGATTGTATTTCAGTCAGGAAACCACAGCTGTGTGACACCAGAGCTTAAATCTGATGGATTATTTCAGCCTGAAACATGTCATCCTGTACAAAACCAACTGTTTTGATACTAAAAATAAACCTAAATGTTACCGTTTGGTTTTGTTTGAAATAATATTGTGTTAAATCTGGTGCTGAAGGTGGTGGGGTTTATAATGGTTTAAATATTTCAGCCTCACATTTTGGCCTTACTGAAGACTCTTAATCAGGTCTGCTAAATACAAGAACAGCTTCATGTATGGATTTTATAATGCAGTTTTAAACTTGACCTCATATTAGAATATTTGATTTGAAATTTTGATAGAAAAATAAATAAAATATAGATTTATATTTCTATGTGTATGATGGTAAAGATCACTCTCTCCTGTCTGTTAGAGCTCTTTGGAAACAGTCAAACTCCAAAAATGTTGCTTTGTGTTTCCTAGCAGCAGGACATGAGTAAAGATAACGGAGGTACTGCTTTTCTCCACATTATGTGACCAAAATACAGAAAATGTTTCTTCCATCTGTAAGTAAAAGCTTTACTTATTTGCTGGCTGAGAGTGTCTGCTCATATTAACTTTATGGACACCCTGACAGCACCTGGAGTGGTTTTATTCCTGCTCATGCACTTTAGCACTGCATGAAATCAGGCTTGATTGGGTATAAAAGCTGGACTAAGTGTTCAGTGAATTCATCAGAAATCCGTCTTTGTCTGCAGTGAAAGCCTTGTCTCTCTCCTGTCATGGCTCCCCCTCTCTGTTCACCTCTTCACACTGAACTCTAAACACCATACTGAGACCACGGCCCCTGCAAACAGCTTTTGATTCTCTGAGGACGGTGACCAGTCATATTTTTTTAACTAACTGTTGCTTTCCTGTTATTCTCATTGATTTCACTCCATTTGCAGAGCTGTAGTCCTGCTGAGACGTGTGAAAGAAGCTGAGTTCTGACTAAAGGTCAGCAGTCTGAAGCTCTGCTGGGGTCAGAGCAGAGACTGAAAAACACTCTCAGCTCCTCCAGCTATTTTTGTTTAGGTGCTACTATCCAGGAAACACTACGCGTGCATCGCTCTGTTAGAGGTGGAGGTATGTGAGTAACTTGTGTGTGACACTCTGAGTGTGCGAGAGTGTGATGGTTAATAGGAAAATGACTGATTTCATTCAAGCACTCTTTGAGACCTCACTCAAAACAGACTTATACACAGCAGAGCGTCCACACAACTGACGATCCAAAGTATACTCAAGGGTACATAGAAACACATGCTTAATGGTGCCAAAAACAGATACCATGAAAAAGCTCTATTTATCTCTGAAACAGAAGTAGAAATGTATCTTGAAACTGACCGTAGGAGGGACCTGGAAACTCATGTGTACAAATATATTTATCGCGCCATAACAGGAACACTAATGCATTATGGGCGGCAGTTGCTGGGCGGCAGTAGCTCAGGAGGTAGCACAGTTGTCCACTAACCGGAAGGTTGGAAGTTCGATTTCCTCCTATGCCTGTCTGTTGTGTCCTTGGGCAAGACATTTAACCCACCTTGCTCCCAGTGTGTGTCCTCCACTGGTACATAAATGTGAGTGTTGTGTGGTGGTGGTCGGAGATGCCGTAGGCGCAAACTGGCAGTCATGTTTCCATCAGTCTGCCCCAGGGCAGCTGTGACTACCAAGGTACTTTACCACCACAAAGGTGTGACTGTGTGAGTAAATAAATGATGTATCCAATGTAAAGCACTTTGAGGGTCTCTGATAAAGTGCTATATGAAATCTGATGCATTGTTATTATTATATGAT